TCCCATTTGTCTCCAAATAAAATGTATGTATTTATTTGGCAAAAAAAAAAAAAAGAGTATTAGAACCAAAAATTCAGAAAATGATTGAATCAATGCACAAGTATAATTTCTTCCTCTCACTAAAAAATGAAACAGAAAAATTAAAAAACTTAATGGATACCAAATAAACCTTAGACACATCCAAGTTAGTCGAAGGTCCATATTGATGAACTAATAACATCAGCATGTGATTACATCTTCTGCTACACATATGTCAGAATCATCATATTACCAGACTCGATAATTTTCCAAGCCTATCTGCACTAACCTTTGATGTAGGCTCAAAGTGAATTGACGATATTAAATCATAGCACTTTGGATAGGGCTCAAGAGTTAAGTCAGCAAAACCAGAATTGAAATTTTATAAATATAGATGAAGAATAAACAAAGAAACGAAGAAGAAATTGAACGAAGAACCAAGGAAGAACTGCACTCACCATTTGACTATGGCAGCAATACGTTTGCGAATGAACTCTACGTACAAAGATTCCCAATCTAATAGGGTTTTCTTTTTTAGGTTTATATGGGTTTTAAATTTGAGGGTATTTGTGTCTATTTAAGTGAGTTTTCTGCTATATTTGAAAATTTTTACAAAAATTGACATTTTTGAAATTAGGGGTCAAGTTTTGGCTATTTTTGATAAATTCTCCTTCCTCACAGCACGACCTCTGGGTTTAGGGTTTTAGGGTAAAGGGAAAATTTGATTCAAAATCAGATTTTAGTTTTCACTTTCAACCCTCGTTCTCTCGACTTTCGCTCCGCCTCCTCTCACCTCGTTCGAGCTCCCTACCTCAGTTCTCTGTCTCACTCACATCCTTCCCTCTCACTGCCTTTGGCTTTCCATAAAGGTATGAAAATTTCTGAGTTTCTCTTTATTTTTTGTTTTTGGCTGTTTCAATAATTGGGTGTTTCAGATTTGGTGTTTTGGACTGTTTTAATATGCTGGTAATTGATATTTAGACTGATTTTGGTTGTCATTGCTGTGTCAAAGCATAGTGTATTAGAACAAAGAAGACTTGAAAGGAAAAAGGGACAAATGCATAGGTTTTTGGGTTTTACCATTGAAATCAAGGCATACGTTTTTGTTTCCTTTTCTTTGTATAAATTTTTTTTATTCATGACATTTACCTTGCTGTTTTTTCATATGGGTTTGGTTTGTTCTGTATTTTTATTGTTCTATCTTGATGTCAATTATGCTGTGCCTGAAGGAAACTATTGTGGAAATGAACAAACCGTTCGATACACATGCAGTGATTTGGACTGTGTTCTTCTGATCTCTTCAGCTTGGTAGAGAACAAAATCAAACGAATTCAAAAATTGGAACTAATTTTGCTACTCAAAGATAGTTGATCAAGTTGGTGGCTAAAAAACTTGAGACTATTTAGTATGTATGTACAAGGATAGGATGGCTAGGAGTGGCTCACTTTTGTGTCATTAGTTTTATTACAATTATGTGTTCTAAGATAATGCATTCCATGAATTTAGATTAATGTCTATTGATAAAGTCATATCCAAAGGCTTGTCTGTGAATAAAGGAGGTATGAGAGGAGAAATGGTGCTCGTCCTCCATCTCCAGGTCTGAGGTTGTCCTGTCTGAGCTTGAGGATATAAATAAGGCTGTTTCTGGACAGCTTTAAGTATGTTATGCTTTGTGGGATGTTTATTTTTTATGTTATGCTTTATTGGATGTTTATTTTTTATGTTATGCTTTGTTATGCTATCCTCTGTATCTGTATCTCCCTCATCCTTGTGTATGTGTATAGCTAAGCAGGCCCCAGAAACCTCCGTCCTAAAGCCTTCCTCAAGTCCTGGACAAAGATGAGACCTTTAGATGAGACTGAGACCACAGCAGTGTTCGAAAAGCTTTTCAAGTTCACAGGCAACAACCTCAAAAACATCGTCGAGAACCCTTCTCATGAAGGTCCCAGACCCAGATTCAGGCCGTTATTGCTTTCGCCTCCACAAGAACAAGGTGTACTATGTTAGCGAATCACTTGTAAAGCGTGCTACAAATATAGCTCGGACTCAGTTAGTCTCTCTGGGCACTTGTATCGGTAGGTTTACTCATGGTGGTAGTTTCCACTTAACAGTTCAGTGCTTGAGTTTAGTGGCCTCAAATGCTAAACACAAGGTCTGGCTCAAACCTACCTCTGAGATGTCGTTCTTGTACGGAAACCATGTCTTGAAAGGTGGTTTGGGGAGGATTACAGAGAATATTGTGCCAGGTGATGGCGTAGTGGTGTTTTCGATGTCAGATGTTCCTTTGGGTTTCGGGATTGCGGCCAAGTCTACTCAAGATTGTAGGAAGTTGGATCCCAATGGAATTGTGGTGCTTCACCAGACAGATATTGGAGAGTACTTGAGGATGGAGGATGATCTTTGAATAATTGGACGTGATTTGGGTGGTTTTGATAGATATTTGTGTGGGTTATGTAAGGCGGATCTATTTGCTTTTGATCAATCTGAGCTTTTAAGTCTTTTGGGATGTGGATGATTTTCCTGAATAATATTTCCATAAGTGCTTGTGACTTTTGGTATTAACTCTTGATTATCTGGAACTTCTTCCATCTGGTTTTTATTTATTATTTATTTTTTGTACAAGCGATATTTGAAAGGGGGTATTTTCTCACACACACTGTATTCGAAAGTCATTAGCATAAAATGTTATTGGACCAACTGGTGTGGAAATAAATGTAAACTCATAGAAATAGATGTATTATTATAAAGTCCTTACCACAGTATGAAAAATCGATATTTTCGCCAATATTTCGGCGAAAATATCATTTTTTTGGGATAGCGATATTTTGGCACCTTTCCATATATATATCGTCAATTTATCGATAATTTCGCCGATATTTCGGCTACGATATTTTCGTTTAATTGGCAGTGCAAATGGTCAATATATCGCGATATTATTGATAATATCGCGATATGAACTTTCAAAATTAATTTGCTAAAACCCACTCATGCTTGCGCGCACAGGGGGATTTAGGCCTGTAATTCGGTCGGATCGGATCGGAAATAGCCATTCCAATTTCCGTCCAAAACCCTTCGTAATTCAATAAACACTTCCGATTCCGGAAAAATTCGGAACTTTCCGATTTCGAATTTTTGAATTCTTCATAATATAATCATACTTTCTTTCTCAAACCCAGACCCAAAAATGGAACACCCCACTGCTTCTTCCTTTCTCTTTTTGCCTTCTTCTGTGAGACCCACTCCGACGCCAACGCCATAGCCTCCACCACAGTCAAACCCACCACACCCTCCACCTAATAACTCAGCATTTTCACACAACATGAATTCAACATCTCCAAAGACAGAGCACAAGTATCACTGTCAAACAGAACACAATTAAACCCAATCACTCGACCAACCAATCGAACCCAAACAAGAATAAGGAGAGAGGAGGAAGAAGAAGAGATAGAGGAGCCATGGAAGAGAGAAAGGGAAGAAAGAAAAAAAAAGGGTGCGGCGGCTGCAATGGAAAAAAAAGAAAAGAAGATGTGTTACTTAGGGTTAAGAACGTGAGTATTGGAAGAGAGAGGGGGAAAATAAACAAATGAAATGAATGAGAGTAAGTGGGAAATTGAGAAATTAAATAAAGAAAAGAAAGAGGGATAGATAAGTGGGAGATGGAACGTTTTGTTTTTTTTACTTTTAATTTTATTTATTTAGCTCTTTACTTTTGTTTTTTAATTTCTGATAAACAAAAGGTTTTTAATTTTAATATATCATATATATAAAAGACAGAGAATGTGTGCAAGGAAGCTTAAGTCGGACTTTTGAATTCTTTTTATTTAATTTTTTTCATTATTGTGCTAATTTTGACATACATGGATTTAGAATCTCTTCATCCAAATGAAGTCTTACAAGAGGGTGTACATATAACACATATCTAAAGTGGTGGAAATATGAATGGGAGGTTGAGTTGTGTACATGATGGAAATTTTAAAAATAATATAATGGATTAAAAGTTTACAATCCAACTATCCAGTCGGAATCGGATTTTCCAATCCAACTTACACCCCTAGGGGGATTCGAACCCCTCTCAATTCCGAAACCTGTAGCCACTTTAACTACCACGCTAGCATTCACTTTGTGATAATAAGCTATAAAATTTGTATTTATAATATATGCAAGTTGTTTCTCAAAATAGAAATTAACATAGTTACTTATTGTTTTATATTGTTGATCAGTTACTTAATTACTTAATATAATTTATTTCTTTTCTATTTAATCCATTTAATGTTATTGATTATTTTATTATTCATTATAAGTACTTATATTACTAAATTCCCCTTCAAATTGTTGCTTAATTACTTAAATCTCTATAATTATTTTCTTTGTTTACTACTTAATTCTTCCTTTGATAAATTTATTTATGTTCTTAGTTAATTTTCAATCTTCACTATTATTTTTTAAGTATGGTAAAGTGCCTAATTTTCATGAAAAGTCAAGTTGGTTTAATTATTTTTCAATTTTTGATAAATAATAAATATAAGAACGTGTACCATGTTCAATGAATAATGTTAAATAAGGTTACACATGTATCTTACCATGCAATTTATAAAGTGTAAAATATTGTACTAAAAATTGATAAATAAATTACTATGGGGTGTTTAATTCTCTTCATTAATTACTCCATATTTTCTAAGTCACAGAGTTTGTCAACACGCAATATAATCAACTTAAATCACTCAAACCCACTATACAATGCATTTCCTTCCAATTTTTTGGGTCAAAATAATAGATGATTGACTAAATAAACTTCTTCTAAAGTTTCATTAAAAATTTCCATGTATTTATCACAATTTCCGTGGTTTTTATCCAATTTGTATTGATATCGATATTTTCCTGATATTTCCGTGTTTTTGAACCACCGATATTTCCGAAACTATCAATATTTAAGACCTTGGTCCTTACTAACTAAAAGAGGGTTAGTGGACTTTATGCAACATATGTTGCCAAAACAAGAAAAGGAATATATTCTAGAGATATGGAAAGGAATCCCTAACAACTTCAAAGAGCCTAGCTTCACAGCAGTTGAGGTTTGTTTTGTGTTTTGGAGATTTGTTTTTAATTTTTTTAAACCGCCCCAATGGACAATAACCCCAAAAGAAGACAAACTAATAGACATCATTTCTTTGATACTATAAATTTAGCTACTCTGGTTTGAAGTTGTAGTCTTCTTTTGAGCAAACAAGAACATTATTAGAAGACAAAAAACTGTGCAAGTGCCCTTTTCTCCTTTTCTATTTTCATGCTAGTTATGAAGGTGATGATTGTATCGATTGTAGTCGTGGTTCTTGCAGTGCAAGCTCATGAAGAAGATGCTTCTTCTTCTCTCCATGCAACCTATTTCCCGTTCAAAATGTCCTCTTTCCCTGGCTCACACCTTCCGTATCATGATTTTTTATTATAAATCCCTAACATTTCCAAAGCTCTTAGAGCTCTTGCCACATTAACAGGAACTGCTAAACCTAACAACCCTAAAACTTCTGTTCATGAACCTCACATTCCTAAACATCGGATGCCTGAAGCTCCCATTCCTTTCATTCCTCATCCTGAAGCTCCCATTATTTTCATTCCTAATACTAAGCGTACTCCTCTTCCTAGGCGTCCTCAAATTCCCTACTTTCCTTTTCCTAGAGATCCTATAGATCACAGCTCCTCTACAAGTGGCACTAACACTAAGCAAGGATGACTAGTAGTCTGTTGTCCACCCATATTATAACACGTGTACAAGCTATATCAAGTGGCCTTACTCTAGTACCATTTTATAATGCGCTACTCAGCTACAGCCTACATGCATTTACAACTAAATCATAAATCAACAACAATACAAAAGGAAAAAAAAATCCAGCTTCATATGTTGCTAATACTATAGCGGTTGAAACTTGAAACACAAACACAAGCAACACAACGAACCATAGAGGAATATGTACGTGCAAGACCTCTCTCTCATGGAACTCAACATCTCCAACCTTTTTGATCCGTTTGTCCTTGCCTTTATTTGTCTTTGATTTGCCTTGCCTTTACCCTTGCTTTAATCCTATTTCTTAGGGTTTTCTCTTGTGTTTTCGTTGCGATCTTTGCTTTGGTTTGTCTGTTTTTTAACTCATGGTTTGCGAAAAGACCTTCTTTGTTGTTCGTTCAAATTTTGCTTGGCATACTATGAAGGCTTTTTATTTTTAAAGTATGTATACTTAACGGCTAGTGTCATGAGCTTGATCGATAGTGTGGGATGTGATTCCTACACAATATTCATAATTCAAGATAGATCAACATGAATGAATTCATACAAACATCAATGCATATGCAGAATGTGATTCGTACACAATATTCATATCATGAATTTTATGCCGTCATTTTGGCATAAATATCGTTAAGCTAGCTCTTGTCCTCCATATTGGACTTGTCTGCAGTGTGCCCCATGGTTTTGAAATAAATATCACTCTTTCTGTGCTCATAGTAAGCTCTTGCTCGTGGTCCCATGTTTGAAGTGTCCATACTCATAATGCGGTCATCTTGCTCTCTTTGCTGCCTTTCATTCATTTCCTCCACGACCTTTACCTTTCTTTCTGCAACTTCTGCCTTTCTTTTGTCACTCTCTGCCAATTATTTTGTAAATTGCTCCATCAAGTCGCAAATGCGAGAATCCAAAGTATTGACTACCTTGCTCCTCCTGTGTGCTTCTTTTTCAGCTCTTCTTCTTGTAGGCCTTTTGCTTTTTCGAGATTCCATTATATAATATGAATCTTTATCAGATTCAGGTGAAATAAGTGTGTTAGGGTCCAGAGGATGCGAGGAGAATGAGGAATGGATGTCGGGGTCTCTATCCTTAGTAAGAGGATTAGGACTCTTAGCTGGTGCCAAATCTTTCATCTTATGTTGCAAAATTTCCCAACAATGACTGAATGCAAAACGTTTCTTCTCATGCTCAAAGTACAACATATTTGCTCGAAGAACCTAGTGAGGGTTTAAAGAAGTTAGCAAAGGATTATTATTACTAACTGCTAAGAAAAAGAGAAGTATTTGAGAAATATTATTGCTAGGAAAAAGGAAAGTACGAATTCTTACTTTGTTAGATTCTGTCAATCCACTTTGTTTATCTTCTACCCAAGCAAGACAATCATGAAAATTTTTGCAACTCCCGAAGATTGATTTCCACCTAGACTGAACTGAACATTGGGATCGCACATTTTGATCACCAGTTAACTCAACATAATTTTGGTATATTTGATCCCAGAAATTATATTGCGGTTTTGAAACAACATTGAATGGATCATGGAAGATATTTAACCGAGCATTGCAAATAGCCACATCTTGTTCCAACGTGAATGATTTTCTACTTTTCATTGGTGATTGAGTCTTCCAATTTGGATAAAAATGATTAATCAAAACTTAAGTACAATAAAAATGAACATAAGTGGGCAGGCTGATTTTAACAGAAGAGTAAACTCTATGCATTTGAACAACTGAATGGTTCAAAATTCAAACTGTTGAGAGGACAATATTGTAATCCTCTTCCAACAGCTTAACAACTTTCTGAATTTAAAAAAAAAGGATGACATCAAATAGATGAACATGCTGTAATTTTTTGTAACCTTATCAGGAGTATATCATCTTTCTCACTATGAATACTCTAGCAATGCCATCATGCATATATACCCTAAGTTCCAATTAAACTAGATCACAATGCCAGAAACGTAAAATTGTAAAACATTTCAGTCCCTCAATTGCCTCTTCATATACTTTAATATCATTTGCAGACCCATCATCAAACAATAAGGATAAACACCCTTTGTAAACCCCAATATGGCAAACATGACTCAATGAAAACATTCAAATCTCCTTTCGTGTCATCTCCAAACTTCAAACAGACCACATTACAACAGGATCAAAACATTTCTCCCTCTATGAACCACAAGCTAGCTAATTAAGAATTTCATCCCAATACTTACTTTATACACACTTCTTCACTAGACCCTGCATCGATGATGTTATTTGCATTACTACTCATCATTTTCTTTCTTTGCATTTTGTCCAGCACTCTTAGGGGTCCAAGCTACTAGTTGGATAATCCGTGCTATAGGCCAGGCTAGCCCACAGAAAAACAAAAAATTCTAAGTAAAATTTGTACTCAAAAGTTTCCATCTTCAGCCCAGTCCTGCCCCTTAAAAATCCACACACACCCCACTCCCCCGAAAACAAAGTCCTAGCTCTGTTACTGGGACTCTGTATGGTGTTTCTTACAATGATTAACCAAATGATTCATGTCTCACACCTCATAGTATTACTATTGCATTCACCACCTTCCGTTAAGTGTAGCAATCGCATACACTATGGGGCCCTAAATTGTTTTATCTTCTAACCACACATTGCAGATGGAGGAAGTGAAACGATCGTGGTTCCAGTTGGATAAATATCATAGTTTCTGCAGGACTACGATGCAAAATTGAATTCTTATACATTGCCCTGAAAGTATGGAAGAGAAATAAACTTACAAGTAGTCAGAAACTGCAGGTAAACCTCCTAGTTCAAGAGCCTTATACTAACTCAACCTGCAAGTCTGCGGCCATAAAAATACAATTAACAGCACAATTAGTAACGGAACATTAAAAAACGAAATTGAAAATAGAATTAACAGAGGCACACACAATGGAAAATACAATTAACAGAACAATTAAATCAACACAAGCACACGAACCCAAAAAAATTACAGAACAAATCAACAGAAACAGAGAGTAAAACATGTAAAATAAATAATTAACAGCAGGCTAAATTAACAAAAGAATTAAGCTAAAGATAATTATAATAATAACAAATTAGCTCAAGCAAACAAACACACTACACAAATGCATCAACGTTAAGTAAACCAGATACCAAATAGGCAATGTGGTAGAGAGAGATACCATAAGTCCAAAGAGCAACATAGTTGCAAGCGACGCTGGGCGGCAGAAGAGCTGCAGAGGGAAGGGCCGAGGCAGAGAAGATGAGAGTAGATACAAAAATGAGGGATTTTTGGGTGTTCGGTTTGTGGGGTTGATTCTGTGTAGGAAGGACCACATGTCAATTTACAATTAGTCATTAACTCATTGAGATAACCATTATTTCAGAGGCTTATTTAATTGATAGTTATTTACACTAACACTTCCTGAGATTTTTGGTGTTTTCATAAAATCCCCTGCAGTTTCATAAATTACATGAACACCTCCTCAGGTTTCAAATTGTTTTCACAAAACTACTTTTCGTTGACTGTTCGTCCAAAAATTGATGATTTCATTTTAAAAAAAGCTTACAAAATTAACATTAATGGATGTATGTGCAATATAATCTTAAAGCCTAACTTTGTCGTTAATTTATATATAAAATCACCAATCTTTGAACAAAAAACAACGGAAAGTTGTTTTGTGTAAACAAACTCGAGGGGTGTTCGTATAATTTCTTAAACCTTAAAAGGGTTTTGTGATAAAAAATCGAAAACCTTAGGGGATGTTAGTTTAAATAACTCATTAATAAATAATAAGTTGAATTTTTTTTTATATAAATGGTCCTTGAATTTGTTAAAAATAAAAAAAATAAAAAATTGTTGAAGTCCTTGATATCAATCAATCTTGGGCTCAAAGTTTTGGTCTACATATCAAATTGTTCCGTGTTATAATATTCCATAAAAAAATTCAATGAAATTAGTCATCAGTTAACTTAGAAGGGGTAATTTTCATCAAAATACAAACTATCTACCTATGAGACAAAATAAAGCTCAAGTTTTTTTTAGTTCAAAAAGGTCATTTGAATATATTGACACCTCCAAAGTTGAATTTTCTGCTTATTTTACGACATTTCATTATCAAATATTTTCCATTCAAGAATGGAAATGAATGAATTAGTATATTGTCGATTAAAAGAGAAAGCAAAATGAAGTGAAGAAACGAGAAGAGAGAGAGTGTGTGTGAGAACTACTTTTTCTTTTTCTTGTTTGATCAAGAAGGTGAAAAAACTTCATTCAGTAATCACTCAAGTACAAGAATTCCTTGCAAACCAGATGTCATTGATGTGGCTTTATCAAAACCTTATCTTGAAAATCCGAGTGGAGGAAAATCCGGTCAAGAAAAAAGAGTATCATAACATCTGAAAAAACTAAAAAAACATTCTAGCTGTTCTCCAAATCCTTTTCCAAAAACGGTGACAACCAAGTTGGAGTGATATTTTTCTAAATCTAAGCACAGATCGGTTTGTTTCAAGAAAGGGCAATCCATTAACCGTTCCAAACTTTCACTAACCCAAAATTTCTTATGTTAGCCGATACTTTGGACCAAATCGGAGGTCATAATGAGGTAATGAATTTTTTTATGAGGTTTGGATTTTATTTTGTTTGTCTCTTCTTTTGTTTTTTTTTTTTTTTGTTGTTACATTGAAGTCACAACGTTATGAATTTTAAGTTAGAAGTTAGAATGTTATGTAAGAAAGAAGGAAAGAAAAAAAGTGGACGCTTTTTTCTTTTTTGGACAAAAAAAAAACAAGAAAAAAGAGTCGCTTAGAGCATCTCCAAGAGAGTCTCCAAATTTTAGTCAAATTCTAGCTAAAATAGCTAGAAAGCTATTTAAAAGGTGTTTCCTCCAGCAATGTTCTCTATTTTGACTAATTTGAAATATTTTATTATTATTTTATCCTTCTCTTTCTCCCTCTTTCTCTTGCAAATCAAATATATTAAAAAGAAAAGTAGAAACCTAATCCCACCAACCTCCCAAATGTCTCTCTCTCTCCCCCCCCCCCCCCCCCCCTCCCCCTTTTTCTCTCTCTTTCTCTTTTTCTTCAATTTGGCAACCTCCATTTCTCTCTCCTCCTTGCTAGATGTAGAGAGCCAAAAGTTGGTTATCCAAAATAGAGAGCCAAGTAGGGAGTCTGCCGAAGGGAGGATTTTTCTTCTTTTTAGCCAAAGTAGATAAGGTTGAGAGGATAGGGGTGCTCTTAGAGAGTTCATTAAGCACGTGTTTGAAGTTGGGCCAGTTTGAACAGCATTCAATCATGTGGGCCTCTTTGACTTCAGCAGTCACAGTTCACGCTCTCACCCAAGGACTTGGTGAGCTTCATGTGCATTTCTAAAGAATGGAAAGCTACCATCCAAGATCCACAGTTCGCCATAACCCATATCCAATGCTCCATCAAAACCAAATCCCATCCCATCATTTTACTCATCCCATCTACTCTGATGAGCTGCTATTTTTCACTCAACTTCGGGCCAAGTTTTGAAAATAAAGTTGCCTTGGGAACAGCCTCTGTTAACTAGAGACCTAATCTTTGGCTACTGTAATGGCCTGGTTTGCATTCAAAATGGTGAAGGCTTTCTTTTATGGAACCCGTCCATCCAGAAGTTCAAGAGGATCCCCTCGTCGCCATATAGTATTCACGGCCATGAAGACAGCTATGGTGGATTCGGGTATGATACCGTTAGCGACGACTATAAATTGGTGAGTTTCTTGCAGTTTCATCCGCACTATGAAGTGCACGTTTATAGCCTAAAATCTGATCATGGAAAATAATTCAAGACTTTCCACTCGACGATTTTGTACTTCATTCAAATGGTGTGTTTTTGAAGGGTGCTTTACGTTGGTTGGTACCTCATGAAACAGATCATGAAAGGATGATAATTCTAACCCTTGATCTCGCAAGCGAGGACTTAACCGAGCTTCCTATACCCTTCCATATGTTTCCTGATTTGATTTCTCTCAAATCAGGCACATCTGATTTGGCTGATTTGATTTCTTTAGTAGTGATGGGAGGGTATTTATGTATTTATCTAGTGGAGTGTAGAAGTAAGGCTTTGATTATGAGAGAATACGGAGTGGCGGAATCTTGGACTAAGTTTTATTCTTTTGATAAGTGGGTTTACTATTACAAGCCTTTAATGCTTTCAAGTTGTGGTAAAATCGTTTTTTTTAGGAGGACTCCAGCCGTCTTATCGGGACGTGAAAACCGATAAGAATTTATGGTATGCCTGAAATTTTTGACACAATTACTTCTCTGGGGAGCATTCATCTCCTTGGAAGTTAATTAGGTGGAGGGACAATTTCTGAAGTTGTTTTGATGTTCTCTGGAACTGGTTTCTTTGATTTAGCTGTTATGTTTGATCATATTGATGAAGCGACTATTTCATACAATATTGGATGTTGATTATCGTTGTACCACCAAGTTTGTTCATCTTCACTGCTGAAGATAGCACACTGTTATGTGCCTTTTTGGCAGCTTCTGGCAATTAAAATAGGATCCGGATCCTCTGCTTTGATTTTCTCTATCATGATCTGCTTGACTTTTCACCTCCATATGACACATCATTAAAATTTAATCTAAGGTATTTAAAGTTTGACACTTCATCTCTAAAATAAAAATCCTACTATTTAAAAAACAAAAAAAAAAAAAAAAAAAAAAAAAAAAAAAAAAAAAAAAAAAAAAAACTAATAAACAAGAAACTTATTAACTGCTACAATTTTTTTTTCTATCTCCATTTCTCTTCAACGTCCCTCCTTTTCAACTGTTTTTCTCTTCTTTCTTTCTCTGTAGCTTTTCCACCCAATTGCACAATTTTTTATTTTTATGGGAGAAAATGCAATTTTCTTATTTTGTATTGGTTTGATTAAAGACGACTTTTTGTACTTCTTTTGTTGGTTTGTTTGCTGTAATCCTGAGTGTTTTTTTATATAGTAAATTGAGCTTAGATCCATAAAATTCATTTAAAATCACCTACAACTCTTTTCTTTAGTTTTCTATTTAAAATACCCAATTCTTTCAAATAATACCCGATGACTAGGATCCAACTAAGCAAGTTACCTAATATAATTTAAAATCTGATTTATTATATTTTTCGGATTCCAAAACTACCCCTATTTATAAGTTCATGTGTTATGGGGGGTGTAACTAATGACACCCGTTGAATTTGGAAAAATCTTCAAATAGTTGTAATGGATGTATGAACTAATTTAGAAACTTATTTGAAATTAAATATTAAATTCCACATTAAAGTATTAGTAATCTATTTTTGAATTAATGGTGTTTTCCTTCTATGAATTACGACTAGTAATCTATTTAAAGTATTAATAATTTAAATTAAATATTAAATTTAGGAATTAATGTTGTTTTCTTTTTATGAATTATAAGACCAGTATTCTTTTTTATTATAGTTTTATGAATAATAGTGTACATTCTAATTATGCTGAAAAATAATTTGATAATCTATTTATTGCTTTGTTTTTAAAATATTTTTTTAGTGACCCTATTTTTTCTCCAAATATTGTACCAATTTTTTTCTTTATTACTTGTTTTATGAAAAATAATTTGATCATATTTTCATTGTTTGATTTATGAAAACAATGTTTTTTTAAATGAGCCTATTTTTTTCTCAAAATAATGTACCAAATTTTTTTTCTCTAATAATGTACCTATTTTTTTTTCTAAAGAATGTACCTTTTTTTTTCTCTCAAAATAATTTACCTATTTTCTCTCTCAAAATAATGTACCTATTTTTCTCTCAAAATAATGTACCTATTTTTTTCTCTAATAATGTACCTAGTAAAACAATTTACCTAGTATAATGAACTTATTTTTTCTTCTAAATAATGTACCTATTTTTAATTTATAAAAAATGTGCATAAATTCCAATTATACAATGTACCTATTTTCTATAAATTATTGTGTACTTATTTTTAATTAATAAAAAACGTACAGAAACAAAGTAATTGACCTTTTTTGTTTTTTTGTTTTTGGTAAATAATATACCTATATGTTTATACGTATATATTTATATTTATATTTTTCATATGTACATTATTGGATATGTAATTTACATATTTTTTTTATTTGCAATTTTAAGGGGCCATATGTTAGAGGGAATGGCAACCAAAAGAAATGGGGTGATTGATATGCTATTAATAGGGAGTTTTAATTTCAATTATGGCAGTTAATGAAATGCTTGGAATAAATTATATATAAAATATGAAGTCTGATGGCAAGGATGTAAAAACATAGGAATACTATGACCTCTTATATCATACTGGTATTTAAGTTTGAAATTGGTTTTTACACATAGATTTAAAGAATGATGGGTATATGTCTAGGAAATAGAAATTGTAGGGACCTATATTGAACAAGCCCTTTTTTTAATTTACTGTGCTCCCTACACCCTGTTGGATTTGATCTTTTAGAATTTTTATTGGCTTTGTTTCTCCTAATGATACCAAAACATTGAAATCCAATTCAAAGCCAGACAGAAACCCAAATAGTTTCGGTGAGAAAGGGGAAGTTTTCAATTGTTGCAGTCTTGCAGAGATAGGAAGAAAACCAAAAAAACATAGAAGAGCATGTAGAAGGGACCAATAAATAAGAGCATGTAGCTGGGACAAAAAATAAGAGAAAAGCATGTCATCAAACAAACCTGGAATCCAGATATTGAAACATGATTTATCTTTTATCTAGGAAAACAACGAAGGAATACTTTTTTTTGGAACCACCCTCTTCAAACAATGGATATGGGAAGATATATATATATTTTTAATCTTGTAGAAAGGAAAGAGAAGAGATTACAGAGGTTTTGGGGAAGGAAACTTGCAGAGGTCGTTAGTTGGGTTAGGGTATTTTTGTTTGTTTTTTAAATAGTAGTAAATTGGTTTTTGTTTTAAAGATGATGTGTCAAATTTTAAACCCTTTAGATTAAATTTTAATGAGGTGGCGTGTGTAGCACAAAAGTTAAGCTGATCATGGTAGAGAAAATCAAAGCAGAGGTTCAAAATCGAATTCTTGCATGCATTTTTGTATTATTTAGATTTTGTTTAGTGCTGTGCCAAACATAGAAGTTGATAATTACAGTTAATTAGTAGCGCGACGTGCATCAAAATAGATCTTGTTTGAACCTGCAAAGCAAGGCATGTTGGGTTTAATTTTGCTCCACAGAAGAGGAAGGAAAACGGAAACAGGGCCTGAAAAATTATGATAGTAAAAAAGGAAAATTATGTTAATAGCACATATTGTTGCATTCAACTAAGTTAGATTTAGTTAAGAAGGGTAGAGATTGTGGAATAAAACGAACATTATATCAGAAAGAAAAAAAAAACAAAAGCCCGTAAATCTCAATAGTTTTACTACTTATTTTATCTGCCACAAGCCCGTTGTTTAAAGTTAAGCAAAGATTGAACGAATTTAAGGGAACTCAAAATTTTTTTTTTTTTTTTTTTTTTTTTTTTTTTTTTTTTTTATACCAAACAGCTTGTGGGCCTATTTGTCTTTCCTTATTTTTTCTGATGAACTGGGGGAGCTTGTCAAAGAGGCTCTAAACTATCAAGCAAAAGAGAAAAACCCTAACCCCTGATCACTCAAAAACTGCAAACCCTACCTAGCAAAGCCAGCATGCGGGACCCCCCAGCAGAAGTGTTTATGGACATCTTCGCACGCCTCTCACCCAAGGACTTGGTGCGATCCACTTGCGTTTCTAAAGAATGGAAAGCTACCATCGAAGATCCACAGTTGGCCAAATCGCATCTCCAACGCTCCATCAAAACCAAATCCCATCCTACCATTTTAATTATCTCATCTAACCCGTTCGTCAACTGTGTTTCACTCAACTTTTCCGACACCGATATGACGTACGTTAAACGTTTGATAATTGAGCAGCCTTGGCAACATCCTCCTCGGTTAACAAGTGACAAAATCTTCAGCTACTTTAATGGTTTGGTTTGCATGCACTATGGTGCAGGCTTTGGTTTATGGAACCCTTCCATCCAAAAGTTCAAGAGGATCCCCTCGTCGCCATTTAGTATGTTCCGATTTGCAAAGATCCATGGTGGCTTCGGGTATGATTCGGTCACTGTTGACTATAAATTGGTGAGTTTCGTGCACTTGAATATGTTCTGCGCAGTGCACTCATAAGTGGCGGATCCAGGATAGGAAAGCGAACTGGGCGGAACTTACATACTAAATTTGACGGTACAAATGAATTTCATTCATAAGAAGAAAAAGATACATCTAGTTATGGGGTCATAATGAGTTTTACTCTCAAATACATCTATACATAAATAAAAACTTAACAAAAAAAAACAAAAACCACAACTAATTTCAACAAAATCACAAAATTTTAAATCAATCCCTACATAAATCCTAGAATACTCAATTTTAAATTAAAACTATAATTAAAGATATAGAAAAATTAGAGAATTAGAAAATACCTTTTGTTGTAGAAAGTAGAGGAAAATATACTGCCAAGTTGTCACTGCCCAGCCAAGATAACAGGAAGATGCAACAAATAAAAGGGGAAAGAAGATGTTGCTGCCATCAGACTGCCATAGAATAGATAAGATAAACAAGCTGATATGATGTAGCCAAAGAGAAGAAAGAGAAGATATGGGACCACTTCCTCTTGGATGGGCAACATGTGTATTGGGTTAGCTTTTATTTTTTAAATTTTGGGCTGCCCTTATAACATATGTAGGTTTTAAAAATTAAAAAAAACTTTGGGATGGGCAGGCACCCATCCTACCCTGTGCATAGATCCGCCACATAGCCTAAAATATGGTGCATGGAAATCAATTCAAGACTTGCCTCTCAAGGGTCTTGTATTTGACTCACAGGGTGTGCTTTTACAGCGTGCTTTAGATTGGTTGACGCTTCAAGAAACATATGGTGAACGGATGTTAAATATTCTAACCTTCGATCTTGCAAGCGAGGAGTTTTGCAAGTTTCCTCTACCCGTCCATATATTTCCTCCTCCCATATCTGATCCGGTTTGTAGGTGGCCTATTTATTCTTTAGTAGTCGTGGGAGGGGTATCTATGTATTTATCTAACGGAGAGTGGATGTAAGGCTTGGATTATGAGAGAATATGGAGTGGTAGAATCTTGGAGTATGCTTTATTCATTTGATGAACAGGTTCACAATGGCAAGCCTTTATTGCTTTCAAGTTGTGGTAAAATGGTACTTTTGGAAAAGAACTACAGCCGTCTTGTTGGTACGATCTACAGAATGAAACGCGCAAAATGGTTCGAAGTCCTATCGCTCAATCTTTTTGCACAATTATTTGTGAGGAGAGCATCCATCTTCTTGGAAGTTAGGAGGAGGTGTACAATGTCTGAAGATGTTTTGAAGTCTAGAATTGATCTTCTTTTTTTGCCAAAGTTGGGAATGGGGAGGGGGAAACTCACACGCACAGGTACCATGAGGGCTTGAATCCATAAGCACTTGGAAGTACAACAAAGGCATGAGCCAATCCAGCTAACATCCCATTGATTGGAATTGGTCTCTTTGATTTAGGTGTTATATGTACTTCAATCATATAGACCAAATGACGGTTTCTTTTCGTAAAATGTTGGATGTTTATTATTTTTCTTTTATACAAGGACCTACTATTTTTTGGTCTTAGTATATATGTTTTTTTTATTTGTTTCTTTTGTCTAAAGACTAAATTCTGTTATTGGCTGCTTGATTTTCCTTTGATAGGTTGCCAGCGTACATTATATTTCGAAATGCATGAGTTCCACTTATGCTTCTAAGTGTGATGAAGCCTTTTTTTTCTGCAGGGTGCGCTGTTCTTATGAGTTGATTGTTTCAATTGTAATGAAATTAAATCCCCATTTTTTCTCAAAAGAAGGGGAAAAAAATATTGTGATGGAACGGTGTGTGCATCTTCTCTGCTGAAGATAGCGCACTGTTATGTGCCCTTTTGGCAGCTATGTACAAAATGCTTCCTTTCCTTCCCTCTCAATATTGCTAAGAATCAGCTGATCATTAATTATTCTTGCAGTTACTGTAACCTGTTGAGAGTTTGCAAAAGATTTACACCCATCTTGAAGAAACCAAATTGTGAATGTTTGTTTAAAATTATGCGCAGTATTGAAGAAATTATACCAAATTCTAGTCTAGCCAAATGCCACACATAACCAGTGGCTAGGCAAACTGTGGATTTTGCCTCTTTTTCTAGTAGAGTCCATTCCGGAATGAGAATTGGAGAAGTAGATTGTCAATTCCGGAATGAGAATTGTGTAGTGTAATTACTTACCCTTTGTATAGTCCTATTGTAATTAGGATTTCTTTTATATTGTAACCTTTTTAGGGTTTACCAATTTGTACATCTTTATAAATACTTGCTTATTGGAGAAGACAGTGCCGGCCCTGAGGGTGCGCAAGGAGGGCAATGGTCATGGGCCTCGCATTCGTGGGGCCCCAAATTATATATATATATATATATATATATATTATATGTACCAAGTTGAAGAATATGATTTTAGAGGACAGTAATTTCAATAGTTTGGCATCTGGAGGCCCCAAATATGATTACAAGTGTTTCTGAAGAGTCCAAATGAAAATTATGTAATATACGAACATCAATTGCATGTATTTAAGTATTTAATTGCTAAAAGTAGTAATCAATGAAAGAAAACCAATAGAGTCTAGAAATTCATTTATTTATCCAAAAATTCTTGTTAGTACATTATTTAGCGAGGAAATATGAAAGAGTGCAAATTATTTGTATCCTCATTCTTGTTTATTTTCAAATTGGGGCATATATTATGTGACCAATACCGGAACCGTGTTTATTTGTCCAAATTATATTTAATTGCATTTTTTTTCTTTCCATGTTAGTTAATTATATTCAGGAGAATCAAAGAAAAATGGGCCTCATTTTCATTTTTAGCCTAAGGCCATCCAAAAGTCAGGGTGGGCCTAGGAGAAGAATACATATCATAAAAGTTCCAATATAGCAAAAGGGAATTAAATTGTAGAACATGATACATATGGGCAGAGGCGGCCCATGGGGTGTGCGAGGTGTGCGACTGCACAGGGCCCTCAAAATTTAGGGGCCTCCAAAAATTTCCAAGTCAACCCATTAAATTAACTAAAACATGAAAATAAAATTGAAATATTAAATATCACCCCACAACACCACATACAATGCACCAAAATTAAAATTGAATTGAATATTAATTATCAACAAATTCTATGACTTAGATAGTAGAGGCCCTAATTTAATTCATTTTCCTCTTCCCAACTCTCACGCTGCAACTCTTCTTTTTATTTATTTATTATGGTTTTGAAACATGTGTTTTTCTCTTCCCAACTCTCAAGCTGCAAAACCATTCTAATATTTTTTTTCTCTTACAGTAAGTCTTTCTCACTCTCCTCCATTAAAATAAAGCCATTTCTCTTCAGTACCAGTGTACCACCATCTTCCATCAAATTTTGGATTGTAAAAACCCAAGCTTTAGCTCTTTCCCCAAAATCACAGTTCTTTTCTCCCACCCTTATTCACATGAGAATTCACCAAGCATTGAAATTGGAAAATCAATTTATCAGCTCTGTGATTTGGAAGGGTGACTAAAGAAATTTTTCTGAGAAGCTCTTTTCGAATGTGTTCTTCCCGTGTCAGAAATTTTTGTTTCTATATGGATTTTTTTTTCCTACTTGTATATATAGGGCCTCGACATCCATATTTGCACAAGGCCTCCAAAATCAATGGACCGGCATATGGGACTCCTTGACTTCACGTGATTGAAATGGCCCAAAAGAGAAAAACCCTAACCCTGATCTAACGCATATAATATCCACTTTACTCACAAACGGCAAACCAACATGCCCAGGGACGGAGCCAGGATTCAAACTTTCGGGGGGCCAAAAAATTAACATGTACCAAACATCTAGAGCAAGAAGAGAAAAAATATAGATTGCAGAAGAAAAATTAACATGTATTAAACTTATTTTGAAATACGTTAAGCTCTGTAGCCATTTTAATTATTGTTATATCAACTTTGTTTAAGTTATGATAAAAATTAAGATTTGCCAACTAAATCTATCCAAGTATAGCTATTTATTTCTATTTTTTATACTAAAGAAATCAGTATTTACTAAAACCCAAAAGAGAAAGATATAAAAATCAGCAAAGAATAGCCAATATAACTTCACATTATTACTCAAAATGAATTTATTAGGGTGGCCATTAACTTCAAACATGCAAAATCCTTTTAATATTAGGTTTTTTAGGTTTTAGACATAAAAAAATTTTCACTTTTGGAAAAAGCCAAAGCTTTTTCAAAAAAGACAAAAAAACCGCTCAACTTTCAAATTAAAGACATGCAAATGTATTGGATTCCTTAGGAAATCTAAAAATAAATAAGGGCATTTTTGTCCATTTTTGCTTCTTTTAAAATTTTTCTCTCTCCTTTTGCTTTTTCCAAAATGTGTGGCTCCGCCCCTGAACATGCCAGACCTCCCAGCAGAACTGTGGATCAACATCCTCGCATGCCTCTCAACCAAGGAGTTGGTGCGATTGACGTGCGTTTCTAAAGAATGGAACAATACCATCCAAGATCCACATTTGGCCATAATGCAATTCCAGCGCTCCATCAAAACCAAATCTCATCCCACAATTTTTATGATCCCATATAGCCCGATCATGTCCTGTTATTTTTCACTCAACTTTTTTGACGACACGACGTGTGGAAAACTTTTGAGAATCAAGCTACTGTGGCAACATCCTCCGTTAGTTAGAGACATAATCTTCGGCTACTGTAATGGTCTGGTTTGCATGAGCGATGGTGCATGCTTTCTTTTATGGAACCCGTCCATCCGAAAGTTCCAGAGGATCCCCTCGTTGCCCTTTATTGTTTATATCCAACAAATAATCCTGACAGTTAATAATACCCTGAGCTTATGCTGAGTTGGTTTTCATTATTTTTCTAAGGTTTTCATGAAATGAAACATAATTCAATCCATTTGATTATTTTCTATTGATGTGCCCAAATGCTCCTACCACCATATGAAATATTTAAAAGCAACTAGTATATCATGAAAATATATAAAAAGCTCTAAGTCACATGATCATGGGAATCTCATGAAATTCAAAGTAAGAAATGCAAAAACATAAAGCTGGTCATCTTAATTTGAAAAGTACAGTGGCCAAGAAATTTGGAGGATAATGATCATCATTACAATCATAATTAATTAATTTCCTCAAAGGAGAATACAAAAGGAAAAGAAAGAATCAAGCCATTAACAAATAATCACTACTGCAATCTTTAGATCATTACACAATCCACCCTTGAAAATATAACCAATTAAAATAAAGAAAGCACACACCAAGCCATACTTTTCTTTAGGAAGTACAAATCAGGAGGTTTCAATTAGCAAAAGAAGAGAAGGAAATAAGCTAATTAGGCATAAAGCATCACTAGGTAGTAGTGGTAGTGATATGGAATACGCGACTGCAGGCATAGACAGAGCAAAATGCTTGCAATGTCATCAAGAGCAAGAGCAACAAGCCAGCAAGCACAGCAAGAAATTGCCAGGAACCAAAAACATAAACCTTCATAAACTTTGTCATTTTGACCTTCCGTCTGCCATTGTAATACTTGTTCACATCTTCAATTGTCTTGTCCAAGAATGGCACTTTGGTCAATCTAATGGACTTGCTCATACCATTCCAAACCTTGGCTACTTCTTCATCGCTTTTCAAATGGTTCAAAATTATACCTTTCTCTCTAAGCAGTTTCACGTCCTCCTCAGTATCTATGATCCCGTTCATTAATTCGGTGTAACGGGTTAAAACCAATGGCCCTGATGCATTTGATACTTCATATGCTACCAAGTTTCTCAAGATCACCTCTGTATTTACATCTAGGGTTGTAGCAGGGAGGTAAAATGTGACTGTTTTAGGATCAAAGGAGATGGTCGATAGGCTACCTTTTGTTTTCACAAAACGGACTCCGGATTTTACAAGATCAGAAACAGAAGGGATGGTAATCTCCTCTACCAATGGTGGTTTACTAATACTATTGCCCGAATTCTCATTTTCTGGGTTGGTTTCTTCTTTGGCTTGGGTGGAAAATAAATAAGAAACAGGTTGTTTCAACATTGCAAATCCAGGAAGGTTGGAGAGGATTGTCCAAGGCAATTTAAAAAACACTTTAACAGGACCAGATACAAGTAGTTTTTTCAAAAGACGTACCGGACCTTTGTTTAGTTTCGACAGCAGCTTCCATACCTCCTGCAGAAACTGCTTCACGAAATTCGGGCTATCTGAAGATTCTGATCCCTTGTGTGGTGTGGATTCTCCTTCATCCTCAGCTTCCACAATTTCGGACGGTCGACGTTCTAACTTGGGGGTGATCATTTGGTACAAAAAGTCTAGCAAGTGAGCACATTCTGAGACTTGGATCTCTGGGAGGTCTTGATCCACCACCTTGAATGGTGAAAGCTCCTTGCACAACCCCATCAGCATCGAAAGCAGAAGGTCATCAGCTTGTTCCAGTGATGTGAATTGAAACTCCAAAATTCTTCTGGACACAAAAAATGGGATTTGGTTTTCAAGCATCACCAAGTCCCTAAGAATTGCATGGTGAGCTGACTTGCTCCCTGAAACGTCAACCAAGTGTGACATGCTTGAGGAAACTCTGGTCAAAACCCTTCCTTCTTTGGCCCCATAGATTTGGAGTAACTCAAGGAAAAATGATGCAGCAATGGCCATCATCCAACCTAAAGTGTCACCATTGAAATCCAAATACTTGTGGTAGCAAGCGCGAATCCGCGGCTCCAGCTTCTTCAATTGCTCAACAAGGTCTTGGAACTTTAGGCATTGGAGCTGCTTTTGGGTCCTTTTAGCTGCAGCCACTTTGTACCTCTCCATCTCATAGAGCTCAGGACGCAAATAGTGGTAAGGGCCAATTGCAACTTCTTGAGGGATGTAGGAATCTGGGTCACTAGCCAAAAGAGCCTTGGGGACATTGAAAATGGAGACAGGGATTTCCCCATCATCCTCAAGCTCTTCCTCTAGTGTTTTTTGGATTTGAATGACCCATTGAAACTCATTGAAGTGTGTACTGGATTTGGAAGAAAATGTTGGTTCGAGAGAAGACATGTTTTTGTTCTTCTCTTGTAGCTAGGGAGAAACTTTTTGGTGGGTTGATGGCAGTTTGTGAGAGTATTGATTGTTGAGGAAGTTATGAGAATTTAGGAGAGCCCTTGAATTAATACTGTCATTAATGTACTTTAATTGAGTGTTAAATTAAAAAAATGTTCAATGCGTTTTCCTCATGCTTGATTGTTTACCTTTTTTTTAAACCCACTTGTGCAGGTGGGAATAACATATTGGTATGAGAATTGAGATTTTTCTCTTTACATGTTGCTTAATGAGGACACCGGGATGAAAGTTCCGTGCTAACTTTTTCTACCATAGGTTTGGGTCCAGCAATTTTGTTTTCGTCTACTTGAATACAAAGTCAAGCCCACAAAAGCCACGATTTAAACTTGCCTAATTAACTGGCCGGAGATGGTAATTATCGAATATTATATTGTTGTGGCGTGGCTGTTTTTAGATGATTACACGGAATTTTTTTTATTTTTTTTATTTGTTTAATTCTATCAGAAATTAGGGATTCCAACTTAAAAGATCTTTTAACATTAGAAGATACAAGTTAATTTAGTAACTAATTCGAAATTCATTACAATGTCTCTTTTGATCGCCAAATTTGAATATACTTTGGTTTTTAAGTTTACCTCATGAGTCATGTGTGGGAAAAATAAATTAAAAAAAAAGAAAAGATATTTGGTTAGACTTAACACAAAGAAGATACAAGGGGGTGTATTCAATTGAGATTTTAATAGATTGTTTTGAAGCTTAAAAGTCCAGTGACATCCAATTATGATTTTTAAGTAAACAATAAAAATGTGGTGGTATTCAATTAGGACTTTTAAATAATCAATCCAAGTCTTGTGGTATTCAATTAGGACTTTTAAAAGATAAGAAAAAGTACGATGGTATTAAAAAAACTTACCGATTTTGAGGTATTTCGTTAAATGGTGTATTGTATGAGACTTTTGAATGGGTGATATAAATACCAAACCCCATAAAAAATCCCACCCTCCTATGCCTGATTCTCATGTTTTTTGTATTTGGAGAAGATGAACAAATGAAGATAAACAAGGTACTCATGTCTTTACAAGGGCTTGGTTTAACCAGACTCGATCCTTATGAATTTAGTGGATAGACTCAGATAACTGTCTTTGTTTACTTTGCTTTCTCTAGTCTCTCTTTGTTTTCTTTTTCTCCCAGCTATTTGGTTACATGAGGTGTTTCCCACATTTCTTTTGGCTTCATATCTATATTGTTTGTTTGCTTTCATCTTATGGATAATCTCTTTGCCCAATAGAAAAAGAAACTCAGATGACTTACCTTCTAAACAATAATTTCAAATACGTTGCTTTCAATAGTTGTTCATATTATGCACTATGCATGCATTTTTCTCAATAGATTTTCAGCTCATTTATTTCCTTTGATTTATTTGTCTTTCTTCAGTCAATTTGTGTAATCAATTTGAGTGACAAGTGTTCTGTACTAGTATCATGTCAGTGCTGGACCATTTTGACTTTTCAGCTGTCCGGTTTCTTATTTGAATTGATTCAATTAACTTCTTGTTGTAATATTTATAAATTCAATAAATTCAAGATTTTACCTTGTTGTAGCTTGTTCCTATGTCAATTCTCAGTTCCATACCAAGTTCTCTATCCAAAAATTAATTGCTGCATGGTTTTAGTTTAATGCTAGTTATGTATGAATTTTGGGACCGTTATGGTTTTAGCTGTGGAACAAGATGATTTGAAGAAAGCCATACATGACAGATAATAATGATAACTTGAGCTAAGATTGGTGTTACTTTAACTTTCTGTTTCTTTAAAGGCTTGGCATCCTTTAACTAATGGATGAAAAATGACTAACCTGAATCCAATCCACACATTAGTAAAATCTACTTTGGAGAATACAAGAAAGTCTTGTGTAAATTAAAATCATAAGTAAAATTTTGTAATTACAATATATTCATAAGAAAAATCATGTAATTACAAATCATGTTGAAATCTATTACATTAAAATCATGTAATTATAATCTATTAAAATTTCAATTGAATACTAGGGGTGGGCATTATAACCGAAAACCCGATTGAACCGCCCGAACCGGACCGCTTTAGGCGGTTTGGTTCGGTTTTTATACTAAAAAATCAAAGAACCAGAAGAAAAACCGGCTGAACTGGGTTGGACCGATTTTTTTTACTCCAAACTGCTGAAAACCGGACTAGACCGAGTATTTTAATTATATTATTAATTAAACAAAAATAATACACGTGTCAGCGGATGATTAATGGATTCATTGGCATATCGTACTCCTTCCTACACCAGATTATGCAAAACCCTAACATCTGAATGGCTTCAAATTGTTTTCTCATTGCGCCTATTTCATCTTCCTTTGTCACCCGACTCTCTCGCCTCTGCTCTGCCTCTCTCAATCGGGATCCCCTCTCAATCACTCTAGCCTGAATCACCTTTGCCTTTTTTTTTTCCCAAAATTTCTCAGCCGATCTCTCACTCTCTTTCTCTCACCCGCTCTCTCTCATCACTCGACTCTCTTGCCTCTGCCTCTCACTGACTCTCACTCAAGTTCCTCTTCTTTTTTTTTCTAGATTTTCTCACCCGATCTCTCAGGTACTCAGTCTCTCAATCACTCACTCTGTCACCCGTTCTCTCTCACACCCGCTCTAACTCTCATCTCCCGTCTCCCGTCTTCCTCAACCAGTTTCTACATGGTTCTCTCTCAGCCACTCTTGCTCTCTATCAGGGGCTCTCTCTCGGTCTCTCTCACTCTCTCACAGTTATTCTCAGTTTCTCTCTCTCTTTATTTTTGTCGGTTTGAGGTATGTGTAAACCCTAATTAAAAAATTTGAGGATTTGAGAATTTTTGTTTGATTTATCATTTATTTCTGGTGTTGCTGTTGTAATTTCTGGTAATATCTAGGATCATAGAATTGATTTTGGGAGAAGTGATTTTTTGTTGCTATTTCATTTATTTCTAGTGTTGCTGTTTGATTTTTTTGTTTCATTTAATTTCTGTTTTTGTTGCTGTCCTGTTTAATTTATTTGTTATTTGTGGTTGCTTTTTTATTTTTAGTTCACACACAGAAATTATTTATGTTAGATATTGAGTAATAACATGATTTCATTTCGGATTTTAGAAAATTCCTTCATTCAATAATGTGATTTGGCAGATATTGAGTAATAATTTAAGTTTTATGATTTTTTGTATTTTGGTTAGTTCTATTTATCTAATCTGACTCTGTTGTGATTTTTGGTGGACATAATTGATTTTTGGATCATAGGAAACGATTGGCTTGCTCTAGGTAATTTCTCTTATCTGACTCTGTTGTTGTTTGATTTATTTCTGGTGTTGTTGTAATTTCTTCTAGTAATATCTAGGATCATAGAAATGATTTTGGGACATAAGTGATTTATTTCTGGTGTTGCTGTTTTGGTAGATATGAAATATTGATTACATGCTTATTGTTTTTGGTTATTGAAGCACCAAATATTTGTATTTTTGTAGGGTATTATTAATTTAATGGAAGCAGAATCTGAAACCCATGTTTCAACTAACCCACCACCACTATTAGCCCATCCACCATTAGCCCATTCACAATCAGACCCTCCACAATTAGCCCCTCCAAAATCAACCCCTAGTACTTTAGGAAAAAGAAAGCCTTGTAAGAATGTTTCGGGGGTTCACAAAGATAAAGTGTGAGGATGAAACTAGTGAGTCTAGATGCATATGCAAGTACTGTAAAAAGGACTATGCATGTGATGGTAAAAGGAATGGTACATCCACTTTGTGGCACCATTTGAGAAGTCAATGTAAGAATTCTCCATTGAGACATGAGAAAAGAAAAAAGGTCCTTTCATTTGAGGGCCGAGCGAAAGGGGGTAACCTAGTAGCACATGCATTTAGTAAAGAGAGATATAGAATTGCATGTGTCAAGATGATTATTCAGGATGAGCTTCTGTTTAGTCATGTGGAGGGTATTGGGTTTCGTGAATTTTTGAAGGAGGCACAACCTAGATTTGAGTTGCCATCTCGTAAAACACTTGCTAGAGATGTGTGGGATCTCTATCAAGAGGATAAAGTTAAAATCAAGAGTGTCTTAACACATAATGCACAAAGAGTCTCTCTTACCATCGACACTTGGACGTCCATTCAAAATATCAATTACATGGTTCTCACGGCCCACTTCATTGATGATGATTGGGTCTTGCATAAGAGAATCCTTAATTTTTGTGTCATTCCTAATCATAAGGGGGATACAATTGGCAGGCTTGTGGAGGCATGTTTGAATGGGTGGGGGATAGACAAAGTTTTCACCATATCGGTTGATAATGCTTCCTCCAATGATGGATGTATTACCTACATGAAGAAGAGGTTAGAAAAGTGGAATTCACTCATAGGTGATGGTAGTTTGTTGCATGTGAGGTGTTGTGCACATATTACAAACTTGATTGTAACCGATGGAATGAAAGAAATTCAGCAATCTATTGAGAGTATTCGCAATTGTGCTAAGTACATTAGGGGGTCATCCCAACGGTTAGAGAATTTTAGGGCTTGTTTGGAGATGGAGAAGGTTGATACTAGAACCATGGTTCCTTTCAATGTGTGCACAAGATGGAATTTAACTTACATGATGTTGGAGAGTGCTTTGAAGCTCCAAAAAGGTTTTGAGAGGATGGAGGAGGATGACCCAAACTTTTTGGGGTACTTTGAGGAGTATGAAGTTCATGGTAAGGAAACGAAGAAAAGAGTTGGGCCTCCAACTTCATTGGATTGGGATAATACAAAGGTATTTGTCAAATTTTTGAAGAAGTTTTATGATGCTACTTTGAGGTTTAGTGCATCAAAAACCGTGTCTTCTAATACCCCACTCCATGAGATATGTTCTTTTTTGGAGGAGATAGACACAATGATGAATGTTGATGATGTTGTTATGTGCAACATAGCAACAATGATGAAGAGAAAGTTTGATAAATATTGGGGAAATGTGAATAACATCAACAAGTTATTCTTTGTGGCGGTTATTCTAGATCCTCGATACAAGATGAAATATGTGGAATTTTGCTTGGGTGACTTGGTGTCCAATGAAAATGGGGTTAATGACATGTCATTGGGTTTTTGTTCTACTATACTATGCTTCGACACAGCAATGAAAAACCAAAATCAGTCTAAATATCAATTACCAAACACCAAATCTAAAACCCAATTATTGAAACAGCCAAAAACACAAAATAAAGAGAAACTCATAAATTTTCATACCTTTTATGGAAAGTTAGAGGCAGTGAGAAGGAAGGATGTGAGTGAGACAGAGAACTGAGGTAGGGAGCTCACAAGAGGTGGGAGGAGGCAGAGCGAAAGTCGACAGAATGAGGGTTAAAAGTGAAAACTAAAATCTAATTTTGAATCAATTTTCCCTTTACCCTAAAACCCTAAACCTAGAGGTCGTGCTGTGAGGAAGATGAGAGAAGCAGCACGAATGGACAAAAGAAAGAAACTTTGAGGATTAGGTCTGATCAAGTGTTTTGGGGTAACATAATACAAAACATATAACACAATAAATATTTGACACGTGGCAATCAGATTAGAATGGGCTTCAGCCAATTGATAAAAGAAATGGATTTTTAACTGTAGACGTCCCTAAATTTTACCTTGTGTTGCAATTGGATCCTTGAACAATTTTTTTTTAGGTAATTACATCCGTTAGCTCGACAAATAGTTCCAATTGAGCCCTACCGTCCAACTCTGTCAATTTGTCCTTCAAAATAAGGGGGTAAAAGCGTCATTTCGAGGTTTCATCCATCATTGACCCCAACTCCACCTTCTTCATCCAACACACCCATATGAAACTAAGAAAAGAAAACCCAGAAGAGAAATGAAGTAGTTAGCTAGTGAGTGAGACATTAGTGATTAGTGTGTCCAAAATGGAGCTAGGGGGACTAACAAAAGCAACTCATCTTCCTCTGCCCTGCTGTTAGTCATCAATTAGGTACTTTTTTGTAATGTAATTAGGTCTTGGTCATTTTCTTCCCTTTTTGCTATGTAATTAGGTCCTAGCATTTGAAGAAAGAAGAGAATCCATTTTTAGAGCCAAAGCCCCAGCCTCTTTAAGAAGAGGATCCAAAGTGCCATTGATGTGAGAGCCCATGACTCTACCCATAGCCCCCACATGCTTTCCACAAATGAAGACCATAGGATTGAAACAACCACCCTCGTCCTCACCCGAGATCCACCCCAGCCTCACCTAAGAACCACTCTCTCTCTCTCTCTCTCTCTCTCTCTCTCTCTCTCTCTGTGCAAATTCAAAAACTGAAAAAGAAAAAAATATTCGAACACTTTTCATCTTAAGGGGAGTGAGGTTGCTAGTGGGTTTTGGGTTCTGTGGGTTGGGAGATGAGGGGTGGGTTGTAGGTTGGGTTGGGATATGGGTTTTGAGGGGGTGGGATAAGGAGGAGGGGGGAATGGGTTGTGGGAAAGGAGAGACAAAGAGGAGAGCTGAGAGAGAGCGAAAGAGAGAGGGATTTGGACTTGGATTTTTTATTTTTAAGTCTATCTATTTCACTTTTTTCAGTTTTTTTTATAAATATTTAATTGAAATATATGGTTTTAGTCCTCAAATTAACGGCCAAATTAACAGAATGGCTCAATTGGAACGGATGAGAAAGCTGGATGACCTAATTGCCTTTAAAAAAAAGTTCATAGACCCAATTACAACTCGAAGTAAAGTTCAAAGATATCTATAGTTTAAAACCCTAAAAGAAAATCATATTGCAAATTAGAATGGAGTTGGGGTCAATGACATGTCATATAGGTGTGTTGGATGAAGAAGGTGGAGTTGGGGTCAATGATGGATGTAACCTCGAAATGACGCTTTTACCCCCTTATTTTGAAGGACAAATTGACAGAGTTGGATGGTATGACTCAATTGGAACTATTTGTCGAGCTAACGGATGTAATTACCTAAAAAAAAAAATGTTCAAGGATCCAATTGCAACTCAAGGTAAAATTTAGGGACGTCTACAGTTAAAAATCCTTTTCTTTTATCAATGGGCTGGAGCCCATTCTAATCTGATTGCCACGTGTCAAATATTTATTATGTTATATGTTTTGTATTATGTTGCCCTAAACACTTGATCATACCTAATCCTCAAAGTTTCTTTCTTTTGTCCATTTGCGCCGCTTCTTTCGTCTTCCTCACAGCACGACCTCTGGGTTTAGGGTTTTAGGGTAAAGGGAAAATTGATTCAAAATCAGATTTTAGTTTTCACTTTTAACCCTCGTTCTGTTGACTTTCGCTCTGCCTCCTCCCACCTCTTTTGAGCTCCTTACCTCAGTTCTCTGTCTCACTCACATCCTTCCCTCTCACTGCCTCTGACTTTCCATAAAAGGCATGAAAATTTATGAGTTTCTCTTTATTTTGTGTTTTTGGCTGTTTCAATAATTGGGTTTCAGATTTGGTGTTTTGGACTATTTTAATATGCTGGTAATTGATATTTAGACTTATTTTGGTTTTGTCATTGCTGTGTCGAAGCATAGTATAGTAGAACAACAAAGAGTTGAAAGGAAAAAGGGACAAATGCATAGATTTTTGCCGTTGAAATCAAGGCATACTTTTTGTTTATTTTTCTTTCTTTGTATAATTTTTTTAAAAAAATTCATGACATTTACCTTTCTATTTTTTCATCTAGGTTTGGTTTGTTTTGTATTTTTATGGTTCTATTTTGATGCCATCCTGTGCGTGAAGGGAACTATTGTGGAAATAAACAAACCCTTCGATTTGGACTGTGTTCTTATGATGTTTTCAGCTTGGTAGAGAACAAAATCAAACGAATTCAAAAATTGGAACTAATCTATGTTGCACCGATACACCACTTTTTGGGGGTATGCGAGTATCGGATACGACATCGATACGCCACGTGGCGTATCATGGACTTTTATGGCATGTTGAATTCCCGATACGGATCTGATACGTCCTAGATATGGTCACGATACGGTCTCGATACGGCGCCGATACGTCTGGGGGTAAAAACAAAAATATTAGCAAACTTTGGGGGTGATTTTGAAAGTTTCTAAACATTTGGGGTTAAAATGTAAAATCCAAAAATAGAATTTTAGATTGCTATGTCGAGAGGCTAGGTTTTTGGGGTTTCATTTAGACAGAACATACGCCAAACAAAAGAGAAGAAGAAGAAGAAGGACCTAGCTGTCGCTCGCACCCAACGCTGCCGCAGCTGAAGGTTTCTTCTTCGCAGTTGAAGGTTTCTTCTTCGCAGCTCAAGGTTTCTCTTCACTCTTTGAATAATCTACTGTTGTTAACTTATATGGGTTTGGAACTTGGGTATTGTTGGAACTTGGAACTTGGGTATTGTTGTATGGTTGGAACTTGGAATTGTAGTTAATTTGATTTGGGTTCTGTTGATGCTCTTTTTGGGAGGTCAACTTAGATAGAGATGAAGTGGTGGATTATGGGTGAAAGTGAGGACCTTCAACATGTGTGTGAAGATTTGGGCAAGCGATAACTATAAAAAAGACGAGATATACGTGGTTCACCCTTAATGAATGGGCTACGTCCACGAAGAAGTATGTTCTCATTATGATAATGTATGATTACATTTGTACATGGAGGTGGACCCATATATAAAGATAAGAACGGAGAAGCCCAAGGGTCAAGATCCAAGACCTTCTTCTAAGTGGAGACTGGTCTTCTTTTATAAGTGAGGGGGAGTCTTCACTTCTTATAGTTTTCCTATGTGGGACTCCTCTTGCTTTGCTTAGAGTTGTGACTTGTGGTAATGCTTCTTTGGTTAAGGTGATGACCTCTCAAAGCATGACACGTGGATTATCTAGCCTAGCTAGTTGCTCGGTCAGTTATAGTACCAACAGTAGTCCCCCAAGTTCGCAAGTAAGAAGTTACTTCTTGATTGGGGCCTTGTAATTTTAAGTGCACTGGCCGAGCAACACCATAGTTCATCTTCTAAGCTGTATAGTGCACTGCCCATAGTCCCCCAAGTCCCCGGGTAAGGACATTTGGAAGGGAGAGAACTTGGCACGATGGTGTCGAAGGTGAATGGGTTCTCGAAGGCACAAAGTTGTATGTCGCAGGGTGATGTGGCTGGGCACCAAGGTGCCGAAGGTATAAGAATTGCATGTCGCAAGGCGATGGGCCTAGGCACGAGGGTGCCGAAGGTGACACAAAGCTTGCATGTTTGCAAGGTGATGTGCTAGGCACGGGGGTACCGAAGGCGACACGGGGCTTGCATGTCACAAGGCAATGTGGCTAGGCACTAAGGTGCCGAAGGCGACACAAAGCTTGCGTGTCGCAGAGCGATGTGGCTAGGCACGAGGGTGCCAAAGGCGACACAAAGCTTGCATGTCGCAAGACAATGTGGCTAGGCACTGAGGTGCCGAAGGCAACACAAAGCTTGCGTGTCGCAGAGCGATGTGGCTAGGCAAGAGGGTGCTGAAGTTAGCAAGCTAGAAGTTGCGTCAACACTTGGATGGTGTGGTAAAAGCTGTGTGAGCCTCTGGAACTGTTGGTAGTTGGGTACCTTTGAGAGAAAAGTGGACTTGAGCCTTCCAACTTCGGTAAGCAAATTTACGGGCCCTTAGTACTTACGACCCGGGTTCTGCCGTTTGGCAAGGAGGCTAGACCTGGCAAACGGGTTGTATTAACGGGTTTCGGGTCGTGTTCGTGTCAACCCGTTAAGTTAACGGGTTAACACGACACGACCCGTTAAGTTAACGAGTGACAAATACTAGACCCAAACACGACCCGTTACAATTCGTGAATATCCGACACGACCCGTTAACCCATTAAGAATAAACAAAACAAAAAACTATCATAGCTTCTCTACCAACACGCCTTCTCTGTCTTTCCCCCCGAACCTAACTTTTCTTCCCTCTTTCCCTCTTCATTTCAGTATTCTCACCCCAAAACAATATATATCTCTCTCACAGATATCTTAAAAATCCAACAACTACATAAATTGAGGAAGAAAGAAAATTCAAAATTAATTGAGAGAACCAAACCAACAACTCTAGAATCAATCACCCTTTGTGCACCGATCCAGATACCTCCTCCTTGATCTCTGGTGGCTGGGCTGGCAGAGTCTGTTGAGTGGAGATAAGAAGAGCATAAGAGAATCTTAACAAAAAGATAGCAGAAGAGAAGAACAGAGAAGAAGAGAAGAACGAGAGGAAGAAGAAAAGGAAAAAAGGAAAGAAGAAAAAGACAAAAAGGAAAGAAGAAAAAGACAAAAAGGAAAGAAGAAAAGTAAAAAAAAGAAATAAAAAAAAGACACGGCAAAAAAAGAAAGAAAAGGGGAAGAAGAAAAATATATATATATATTATGCAAAATTACAAAATTAGCCTCCTTAACGGGTGGCTAACGAGTTAACTCGTTTTCGACCCGACACGACCGTTAGCTTAACGGGTTCACCCGTTTTCAAACCGACCCAATAAGCTCAACCCAAATACTGATAATTTCGTGCGAATTTGTGTCGTATTAACGGGTTGTGTGCAATATTGCCAGGTCTAAAGGAGGCTGAGTCATAGCTTTGGCTCGAGCATCTTTGGTAACCAAGTGATGGCTTTGGGCAGCAAGGGCTTGGGTCCCAAAAGATTGGGCTGAAGCTTGAAGGAGAAAAGAGTGTGGGCTTCAATTTTCCTTTTATAGCCCCTTGCCGTTTGGCTTTTATCTGTTTTTTTGTTTTTTTGTTTTTTGTTTTTTTTGGTTTTGGACCTCTAGTAAAGTTGGCATGGTCTTTGAAGTCGGGCCTCCAGTGCTTCTCCGTTCGGCCTGGGCAAGATGCTATATTTGGGCTTCGGCAAGATGCCGAAGATGAGAGATAAGAGCTCAGGGAACTGGAGCTGGGCTCGAATTTGGGGCTTAGCCTTAGTTGGGCTTTGGTGAGGGCAAAGAGGCATGGCCTAGGGTTTTTAGAAGGTGAGAGAGCAGAGTCTCTTTATCAGACCTGCCGTTCAGCAGTTTTGAGTTGGGTTGGGGATATTTTAGTCCTTGGTTCGGCAAGGTCTTAAGAAGAGAGGAGATTTTCATGCGTCTGGCCATTTTTCAGCAAGGGTGCCGATCGGTAGGGGCTGACTGAACTTTTTGGAGCCTGCAGTGGCTTCAGCAAGAGGGTCAGTTACGGTACCAACAGGTTCTCTTTTCTTTTTTTAATAAGCTGCTGCCTATTGTTGTTAATTTGATTTGGATTCTCTTTTGTTTCTAATAAGCTGCTGCCTATTGTTGTTATATGAGTTGGGTACCATATTATTTAATAAGTTTTGTGTGGTAGGAATTGTTGTTGATTTGGGTATATAATTTAATTGGTGTGTGAAGTCATAATTTTTGTTAATTAGATTATAGCTGCCTGCCTACAAATTTTGTATATGTATTAATTTGGAAAATGCCGGAGTGCTGGAGATTGCAAACCTCTCCCTTGATGAACCAGACTTAGAAGGCATCATATTTACCCAAGATGAATGAAGTTAGAGCTTTGAGAAGTGATTTCTAATGTTTTAATTTGTGCTTTGTTTATGGATACTTGTATTTTGTATGTTTTGTTTAATTTTTGCTTTGTTTATGGAGATTTGAATGAAGTTATTTGTTTGGTTAATGTTTTGAACTTATTATGGATGAAATATCAATTTTCAAATTTTCTATTTATATTTTAAAAAAATACATATTATTTTAATTGCCGTATCGGTGCCGTATCCGTATCCTACTTTTTGGAGATTTGCTGTATGGGCGTATCGTGTCGTATCGTATCGCCGTATCCGTATCGGTGCAACATAGGAACTAATTCTGCTACTCAAAGATAGTTGAGTAAGTTGGTGACTAAAAAACTTGAGACTATGTAGTGTGTATGTACAAGATAGTATGGCTAGGATTAGCTCACTTTTGTGTCATAAGTTTTATTACAATTATGTGTTCTAAGATAATGCATTCCATGAATTTAGATTAATTTCTATTGATAAAGTCATAACCAAAGGCTCGTCTGTGAATAAAGGAAGTATGAGAGGAGAAATGGTCCATTTTAAAATTCATTCAAAATCAAAGGTATGTGGGTCGAAGGGGCCAGAGCCTCCTAACTGGATGGTGCTCTGGTGATCGTTCTCCATCTTTAGGTTTGAGGTTGCCCTGTCTGAGCTAGGGGATATAAATAAGGCTGTTTCTGGACAGCTTTAAGTATGGTATGCTTTGTGGGAGGTTTATTTTTTATGTTATGCTTTGTTGGATGTTTTTATGTTATGCTTTGTTATGCTATCCTCTGTATCTGTATCTCCCTCATCCTTGTGTATGTGTATGGCTAAGCAGGCCTCAGAAACCTCAGTCCTAAAGCCTTCCTCAAGTCCCGGACAAAGATGAGACCTTTAGATGAGACTGAGACCACAGCAGTGTTCGAAAAGCTTTTCAAGTTCACAGGCAACAACCTCAAAAACATAGTCGAGAACCCTTCTCATGAAGGCCCAGACCCGGATTCAGGCCGTTATTGCTTTCGCCTCCACAAGAACAAGGTCTACTATGTTAGCGAATCACTAGTAAAGCGTGCTACAAATATAGCTCGGACTCAGTTAGTCTCTCTGGGCACTTGTATCGGTAGGTTTACTCATGGTGGTAGTTTCCACTTAACAGTTCAGTGCTTGAGTTTAGTGGCCTCAAATGCTAAACACAAGGTCTGGCTCAAACCTACATCTGAGATGTCGTTCTTGTACGGAAACCATGTCTTGAAAGGTGGTTTGGGGAGGATTACAGAGAATATTGTGCCAGGTGATGGCGTGGTGGTGTTTTCGATGTCAGATGTCCCTTTGGGTTTCGGGATTGCGGCCAAGTCTACTCAGGATTGTAGGAAGTTGGATCCCAATGGAATTGTGGTGCTTCACCAGACAGATATTGGAGAGTACTTGAGGATGGAGGATGATCTTTGAATAATTGGACGGGATTTGGGTGGTTTTGATAGATATTTGTGTGGGTTATGCAAGGCGGATCTATTTGCTTTTGATCAATCCGAGCTTTTAAGTCTTTTGGGATGCGGATGATTTTCCTGAATATTATTTCCATAAGTGCTTGTGACTTTTGGTATTAACTCTTGATTACCTGGAACTTCTTCCATCTGGTTTTTAATTTTTATTTATTTTTTATACAAGCGATATTTAAGAGGATTTTTATTTATTTTTTATACAAGCGATATTTAAGAGGGTTGTTTTCTCACACACATTGCATTCGAAAGTCATTAGCATAGATTGTTATTGGACCAACTGGTATGGAAATAAATGTAAACTTATAGAAATAGATGTATTATTATAAAGTCCTGACTAACTAACAAAAGGTTAGTGGACTTTATGCAACTTATGCTGCCAGAACAAGAAAAGGAATATATTCTAGAGATATGGAAAGGAATCTCTTACAACTTCAAAGAGCCTAGCTTCACAGCAGTTGAGGTTTGTTTTGTGTTTTGGAGCTTTATATATATATTTATTAATTCACCTCAATGGACAATAACCCTCAAAGAAGACTAAAATTAATAGACTTATCATTTCTTTGATACTATAAATTTAGCTACTCTGGTTTGAAGTTGTTGTCTTCTTTTGATCAAACAAGAACATTATTAGAAGACAAAAACTGTGCAAGTGCCCTTTTCTCCTTTTCTTTTTTCATGCTAGTTATGAAGGTGATGATTGTATCGATTTTAGTTGTGGTTCTTGCAGTGCAAGCTCATGAAGAAGATGCTTCTTCTTCTCTCTATGCAACCTATTTCTCGTTCAAAATGTCCCCTTTCCCACACTCACACCTTCCATATCATGAATTTTTTTAAATCCCCAACATTTCCAAAGCTCTTAGAGCTTTTGCCACATTAAAAGGAACTGCTAAACCTAACAACCCTAAAACTTCTGTTCATGAATCTCACATTCCTAAGCCTCGGATGCCTGAAGCTCCCATTCCTCTCCTTCCTCATCCTGAAGCTCCCATTGTTTTCATTCCTAATCCTAAGCGTACTCCTCTCCTAGGCGTCCTCAAATTCCCTACTTTCCTTTTCCTAGAGATCCTATAGATCACAGCTCCTCTACAAGTGGCATTAACACTAAGCAAGGATGACTAGTAGTCTGTTGTCTACCCATATTTAACACATGTACAAGCTATATCAGATAGCCTCACTTCACACTACTCGGCTACATGCATGTACAACTAAATCATAAATCAACAACAATACAACAGGAAAAAAAAAGGGGATTTCACTAAAACACCCAAAATGGGAGCTGAAATTATAAAAAAACCCAACACCCAAAACACTTTATAAACACACCCAAAACTCATCATTACACACACTCAAAACCCATTTATAAACACACCCAAAAAATATACAATTGTTGACTTTGGGGTTGATTTTGGGTGTGTTTCTATGTTTAAATAGTGTTTGGGTTTTTTTATAAATACATGTCTAGGATTGGGTTTATTTATAAATTTGTAAAAAAAAATCCAGCTTCAGATGTTACAAATACTATAGCGGTTGAAAATTGAAACACAAACACAAGCAACAAAACGAACCAAGATGAATATGTACGTGCATGACCTCTCTCTCATGGAATTCAACATCTTCAACCTCTCTGATCCGTTTGTCCTTGCCTTTATTTGTCTTTGATTTGCCTTGCCTTTGCCCTTGTCTTAATCCTATTTCTTAGGGTTTTCTCTTGTGTTTTTGTTGCGATATTTGCTTTGGTTTGTCTGTTTTTTAACTCATGGTTTGCGAAAAGACCTTCTTTGTTGTTCATTCGAATTCTGCTTGGCGGCCATCCCTATATCACTAGTGCTAATGGTGTCCCTTCTCCCATCACAATGAAGACTTTGAAGACACTTCCCTAAAGAAAATTTGGGAAGTGAGATTATTGGTTTTTCGTAAATTTGTTAATTTAGAAGACCAACTTGAAGATAGTCTCGAGTACGGTGTTCTATGACTCGCTTGACAAGTTGGGTATGCAAAACATCTTTGAGCCAACTTGAAGGAGGAGTGTTAGTGAGTCCTTATTTAGTTATGATTTTGTTACTTACCCATTTATCTAGTCTAATTGTAATTAAGATTTACAAGGAATAGTCATGGTTTTATGCCTACAGCCGACTGCTAACTTCTAACTACTACCATGCAAATTATACAAAGTTCCAAATTAGATTACACTAGCAAAGGTGCCTGTGCGATGCTGCGGGTTTTAAATCAAAGGCAGTTTGTATTAAACATATGTCTGAAAATCAACCCAAAAAAGTAAAAAGAGCAAAGGGCAATATGGTCATTTTACTGTGTTGCCGAATAGGACAAAAAAGAACAAAGAACATAAGTAGGGGCAAAATCGTCATTTCACTATTGCGAATGGCTAGTCTACAAACAGTGAATTTTGGGATCAAAATCAACCCAAAAAGTAAAAAGAGCAAAGGGCAATATGGTCATTTTACTATACTGCCGAATAGGACAAAAAATAACAAAGAACATGAGTAGGGGCAAAACCATCATTTCACTATTGCGAATGAATAGTATATGAACAGTGAATTTTGGGATTCAGTTTTAGTATATACATAATTTCCTATTTTATCTCTTTTAGAGTTGACACGTATTTGTACTTCTTTATAAATACCTCAATCTTATTTATTTTTATTTTTAAAGTTCGTATATGTAACGGCTAGTGTCATGAGCTTGATTGATAGTGTGGGATGTGATTCCTACATAATATTCATAATTCAAGATAGATCAACATGAATGAATTCATACAAACATCAATGCATATGCAGAACGTGATTCGTACACAATATTCATATCAAGAATTTTAAGCCGTCATTTTGGCATAAATATCGTTAAGCTAGCTCTTGTCCTCCATATTGGACTTGTCTGCAGTGTGCCCCATGGTTTTGAAATAAATATCACTCTTTTTGTGCTCATAGTAAGCTCTTGCGCGTGGTCCGATGTTTGAAGTGTCCATACTCATAATGCGGTCATCTTGCTCTCTTTGCTGCCTTTCATTCATTTCCTCCATGACCTTTACCTTTCTTTCTGCTACTTCTGCCTTTCTTTTGTCACTCTCTGCCAATTGTTTTGTAAATTGCTCCATCAAGTCGCAAATGCGAGAATCCGAAGTATTGACTACCTTGCTCCTCCTGTGTGCTTCTTTTTCAGCTCTTCTTCTTGTAGGCCTTTTGCTTTTTCGAGATTCCATTATATAATATGAATCTTTATCAGATTCAGGTGAAACAAGTGTGTTAGGGTCCAGAGGATGCGAGGAGAATGAGGAATGGATGTTGGGGTCTCTATCCTTAGTACGAGGATCAGGACTCTTAGCTGGTACCAAATCTTTCATCTTATGTTGCAAAATTTCCCAACAATGATTGAATGCAAAACGTTTCTTCTCATGCTCAAAGTACAGCATATTTGCTCGAAGAACCTAGTGAGGGTTTAAAGAAGTTAGCAAAGGATTATTATTACTAACTGCTAAGAAAAAGAGAAGTATTTGAGAAATATTATTGCTAGGAAAAAGGAAAGTACGAATTCTTACCTTGTTAGATTCTGTCAATCCACTTTGTTTATCTTCTACCCGAGCAAGACAATCATGAAATTTTTTGCAACTCCCGAAGATTGATTTCCACCTAGACTGAACTGAACATTGGGATCGCACATTTTGTTCACCAGTTAACTCAACATAATTTTGGTATATACGATCCCAGAAATTATATTGCGGTTTTGAAACAACATTGAACGGATCTTGGAAGATATTTAACCGAGCATTGCAAATAGCCACATCTTGTTCCAACGTGAATGATTTTCCCCTTTTCATTGGTGATTGAGTCTTCCAATTTGGATAAAAATGATTAATCAAAACTTAAGTACAATAACAATGAACATAAGTGGGCAGGCTGATTTTAACAGAAGAGTAAACTCTATGCATTTGAACAATTGAATAGTTCAAAATTCAAACTGTAGAGAGGACAATATTGTAATCCTCTTCCAACAGCTTAACAACTTTCTGAATTTTAAAACAGAGGATGACATCAAATTGATGAACATGCTGCAATTTTTTGTAACCTTATCAGGAGTATATCGTCTTTCTCCCTATGAATACTCGCAATGCCATCATGCATATCTACCCTAAGTTCCAATTAAACTAGATCACAACGCCGGAAACGTAAAATTGTAATAACACTAACATTTCAGTCTCTCAATTTCTTCTTCATATACTTGAAATCATTTGCAGACCCATCATCAAACAATAATGATAAACACCCTTTGTAAACCCCAATATGGCAAACATGATTCAATGAAAACATTCAAATCTCCTTTCGTGTCATCTCCAAACTTCAAACGGACCACATTACAACAGGATCAAAGCCTTTCTCCCTCTATGAACCACAAGCTAGCTCATTAAGAATTTCATCCCAATACATACTTTTATACACACTTCTTCACTAGACCCTGCAGCAATGATGTTATTAGCATTACTACTCATCATTTTCTTTATTTGCCCTTTGTCCAGCACTCTTAGGGGGCCAAGGTACTAGTTGGATAATCCGTGCTATACCCCAGGCTAGCCCACAGAAAAACAAAAAATTCTTAAATAAAATTTGTACTCAAAAGTTTCCATCTTCAGCCCAGTTTACAGGCTCCAGCCTCCCGCCCCTTAACACATACACCCCACTTTCCCTAAAACAAAGTCCTAGCTCTGTTACTGGGACTCTGTATGGGGTGTTTCTTACAATGATTAACCAAATGATTCATATCTCACACCTCATAGTATTAGATGCAGTCCTTCGGTACTCTCGTATTCACCACCTTCCGTTGAGTGTAGCAATCGCATACACTATGGGGCCCTAAATTGTTTTATCTTCTAACCACACATTGCAGATGGAGGAAGTGAAACGATTGTGGTTCCAGTTGGATAAATATCATAGTTTCTGCAGGGCTACGATGCAAAATTGAATTCTTATACATTGCCCTCAAAGTATGGAAGAGAAATAAACTTACAAGTAGTCAGAAACTGCAGGTAAACCTCCTAGTTCAAGAGCCTTATATTAACTCAACCTGCAAGTCTGCAACCATAAAAATTACAATTAACAGCACAATTAGTAACACAGAAGCACACCAATAGCCAACGGAACATTAAAAAACGAAATTGAAAATAGAATTAACAGAGGCACACACAATGGAAAATACAATTAACAGAACAATTAAATCAACACAAGCACACGAACCCAAAAAAATTACAGAACAAATCAACATAAACAGAGAGTGAACATGTCAAATAAATAATTAACAGCAGGCTAAATTAAGAAAAGAATTAAACTAAAGATAATCATAATAATAACAAATTAGCTCAAGCAAACAAACACACTACACAAATGCATCAACGTTAAGTAAACCAGATACCAAATAGGCAATGTGGTAGAGAGCGATACCATAAGTCCAAAGAGCAACATAGTTGCAAGCGACGCTGGGCGGCAGAAGAGCTGCAGAGGGAAGGGCCGAGGCAGAGAAGATGAGAGTAGATACAAAAATGAGGGATTTTTGGGTGTTCGGTTTGTGGGGTTGATTCTGTGTAGGAAGGACCACATGTCAATTTACAATTAGTCATTAACTCATTGAGATAACCATTATTTCAAAGGCTTATTTAATTGGGAAAAAATTATTTACGCTAACATTTCATGAGATTTTTGGTGTTTTCATAAAACCCGTAATTTCGTAAAACTACTTTTCGTTGACTATTCATCCAAAAATTGATGATTTCATATAAAAAAAATTACAAAATTAACATTAATAAATGTATGTGCAATCTAATCTCCAAGCCTAACTTTGTCATTAATTTTTATATAAAATCACCAATCTTTGGACAAAAAATCAACGGAAAGTCATTTCATGTAAATAAACTCGAGGGGTGTTCATATAATTTCTTAAACCTTAAGGGGGTTTTGTGAAAAAAAAATTGAAAACCTTAGGAGATGTTAGTTTAAATAACTCATTAATAAATAATAAGTTGAATTTTTTATTTAAATGGTCCTTGAATTTGTTTTTAAAAAAAATTGTTGAAGTCCTTGAAATCAATCAATCTTGGGCTCAAAGTTTTGGTCTACATATCAAATTGTTCCTTGTTATAATATTCCATCAAAAATTTCAATGAAATTAGTCATCAGTTTACATAGAAGGGGTAATTTTCATCAAAATACAAACTATCTACCCATAAGACAAAATAAAGCTCAAGTTTTTTTTTAAAATTCAAAAAGGTCATTTGAATATATTGACACCTCCAAAGTTGAATTTTCTGTTCATTATCAAATATTTTCCATTCAAGAATGGAAATGAATGAATTAGTATATTGTCGATTAAAAGAGAAAGCAAAATGAAGGGAAGAAACGAGAAGAGAGAGAGAGTGTGTGTGTGAGAACTACTTTTTCTTTTTCTTGTTTGATCAAGAAGGTGAAAAAACTTTATTCAGTAATCACTCAAGTACAAGAATTCCTTGCAAACCAGATGTCATCGATGTGGCTTTATTAAAACCTTATCTTGAAAACTCGAGTGGAGGAAAATCCGGTCAAGAAAAAAGAGTATCATAACATCTGAAAAAACTAAAAAAACATTCTAGCTATTCTCCAAATCCTTTTCCAAATGCAGTGACAACCAGGTTGGAGTGATATTTTTCTAAATTGAAGATCTAGATCTAAGCACAGATTGGTTTGTTTCAGGAGAGGGCAATCCATTAACCGTTCCAAACTTTCAATAACCCAAAATTTCTTACGTAAGCCGATACTTTGGCCTTGGATCAAATGAGGTTGATATAATGAATTTTAGGTTTGGCACTTTTTGTTGTTGTTGTTGTTGTTGTTCCTAGTTGAATAAGTCACAATGTTATCAATTTTAAATTAGAAGTTAGAACGTTATATAAGAAAGAAGGAAAGAAAAAAAGAGGACGCTTTTTTTTTGGGAGAAAAAAAGAAAGATAAAAGGGTCGCTTAGAGCATCTCCAAGAGTCTCCAAATTTAGTCAAATTTTATCTAAAATAGCTAGAAAGCTATTATAGCAAACCACTTAAAATGTGTTTCCTCCAGCAATGTTCTTTATTTTGACTAATTTGAAATATTTTATTATTATTTTATCTTTCTCTTGTAAATCAAATATATTAAAAAGAAAAGTAGAAACCTAACCCCCACCAACCTCCCAAATGTCTCTATCTCTCTCCCCCTTTTTCTCTTCAATTTGGCAAGCTCCATTTCTCTCTCCTCCTTGCTAGATGTAGAGAGCCAAAAGTTGGTTCTCCAAAATAGAGAGCCAAGTAAGGAGTCCACTGGAAGGAGGATTTTCCTTCTTTTTAGCCAAGGTATATATGGACGAGAGGATAGGGGATGCTTTTAGAGAGTTCATTAAGCACGTGTTTGAAGTTGGGCCAGATTGAACAACATTCAGTCATGTGGGCCTCTTTGACTTCATGCGAATGGCTCTCCCTCAAATAAAACGCAAAAAAGAAAAACCCCACTCTTCACACAACAGTCACAATTCACTCACAAAGGGCAAACCCTACCTCTCGGCAAAAGAAATTCAGCATGCCATGCCTCCCAGCAGAACTGCTGATCGACATCGTCCCACAGCTCTCACCCAAGGACTTGGTGAGCTTCATGTGCGTTTCTAAAAAATGGAAAGCTACCATCCAAGATCCATAGTTCGCCATAACCTATCTCCAATGCTCCATCAAAACCAAATCCCATCCCGTCATTTTACTCATCCCATCTACCCCGATGAGCTGCTATTTTTCACTCAACTTTTTTGAAAAAGATACAACGTCGAGCCAAGTTTTGAAAATCAAGTTCCCTTGGGAACAACCTTTGTTAACTAGAGACCTAATCTTCGGCTTCTGTAATGGCCTGGTTTGCATTCAAGATGGTGAAGGCTTTCTTTTATGGAACTCGTCCATCTAGAAGTTGAAAAGGATCCACTCGTCGCCATCTAGTATTCATTGCCATGAAGACAGTTATGGTGGATTCGGGTATGATTCCGTCAACGATGACTATAAATTGGTGAGTTTCTTGCAGTTTCATCCGCACTATGTACTGCACGTTTATAACCTAAAATTTGATGCATGGAAAATAATTCAAGACTTTCCTCTCGACGATTTTGTACTTCATTCAAATGGTGTGTTTTTGAAGGGTGCTTTACATTGTTTGGTGCATCATGAAACAGATGATGAAAGGATGATAATTCTAACCCTTGATCTAGCAAGCGAGGACATTTCGGAGCTTCCTATACCCTTCCATATGTTTCCTGATTTGATTTCTCTCAAATCACGCACATCTGATTTGGCTGATTTGATTTCTTTAGTAGTGATGGGAGGGTATTTATGTATTTATCTAGTGGAGTGTAGAAGTAAGGCTTTGATTATGAGAGAATATGGAGTGGCGGAATCTTGGACTAAGTTTTATTCTTTTGATAAGTGGGTTTACGATTACAAGCCTTTAATGCTTTCAAGTTGTGGTAAAATGGTTCTTTTTGAGGAGGACTCTAGCCATCTTGCTTGGTATGATCTACAGAATGGGACGCGAAAACCTGTAAGAATTTATGATATGCCTGAAAGTTTTGACACAATTACTTCTGTGGGGAGCATTCATCTTCTTGGAAGTTAATTAGGGGAGGGACAATTTCTGAAGTTGTTTTGATGTTGTCTGGAACTGGTTTCTTTGATTTAGCTGTTATGTTTGACCATATTGATGAAGCGACTAGTTCATACAATATTGGGTGTTGATTATCGTTGTACCGCCAAGTTTGTTCATCTTCACTGCTGAAGATAGCACACTGTTATGTGCCTTTTTGGCAGCTTCTAGCAATTAGAATAAGGGTTCAAAATCGAATTCTTGCATGCATTTTTATATATATAGATTTTGTTTAGTGCTGTGCCAAACATAGAAGTTGATAATTACAGTTAGGGGTAGTTGCGGTTCGGTAATCGCGAATTTTTACTCAAACCGCAAACCGACCGACTATTTACGGTTTGGTGATTTTTGAAATCGCAAAACGACCGCATTTTGCAGTTTACCGCAAAATGCGGTCGGTTACCGCGAATTAGCGGTTTAAAACCGCAAGTTCTCAAGCATTCACAAAAATATAAATTCATAACCTAAATAAATAAATACACAACCTCAATTTCTCAAGCATATATAAATTCACAATCTCCTCAACTTCTCAAACATTCACAACCTAAGAAAATTAAAGTTACAATTCCAAGCATTCCAATTAAAGTTAAAGTTCTCAAGCATTCCAATTCCAAATCCTTTAAAGTTACAAACCAAAAGGAAAATGTAAAGTAAAATGAATTAAAGTTACAACCAAAAAGAAAAATTCAATTCAAAGTTAATTAAAGTTACAAACTAAAAGGAAAATGCAATGCACCAATGTTACAAACTCAAGTGTTGGTGGTGAGTGGATTTGAAGAACCCCGTTTTGTTGTTTGAGCACTAATATTATCTACAAATAAAACAACATAGTTTAGTACATTTTATTATAAGAAGAAGCATAAATAACATTAGCATAAATAAACTAATTACTTATAAGTTGTCATATGTTCCATTTCCTTGTATAATTCAACCTCATCATCCGTGCGGCTATACTTTGTGGTTTGCGGTAACCGCAAGTTTTGAAAATCAAATACCGCAACCGCAAATGCGGTTCGGTTCTTAATACCGCAAATGTGGTTCGGTTTACCGCGATTGCGGTTTCTTTGTGGTAAATTGTCGGTTGGTTTTTGCGGTTTTTCGGTTTAAAAAGCCACCCCTAATTACAGTTAATTAGCAGCGCTACGTGCAGCAGAATAGATCTTGTTTGAACTTGCAAAGCAAGGCATGTTGGGTTTAATGCTCCACAGAAGAGGAAGGAAAACGGAAACAGGGCCGAAAAATTATGATAATAAAAATTGAAAATTATGCTAATATGTTGCATTCAACTAAGTCAGATTTAGTTAAGAAGGGTAGAGATTGTGGAATAAAAAGAACATTATATCAGAAAGAAAAAAAAAACACAAGCCAGTAAATCCCAATAGTTTTACTACTTATTTTAACTACCACAAGCCTATGTTTAAAGTTGAACAAGATTGAACGAATTTAAAGGAACTCAAAAACTGTTATTTTTCTTTCTCTTTTTTTTTTGCATACCAAACAACTTGCGGGCCTATTTGTCTTTCCATTTTTTTCTGATGAACCGGGGGAGCTTGTCAAAGAAGCCCTAAACTATAAAGCAAAATAAAAAAACCCTAATCCCTGATCACTCAAAAACGGCAAACCCTACCTCGGCGAGCAAAGTCATCATGCGGGACCTCCCAGCAAAAGTGTTTGTGGACATCTTCGCACACCTCTCACCCAAGGATTTGGTGCGATCCACTTGCGTTTCTAAAGAATGGAAAGCCACCATCGAAGATCCACAGTTGGCCAAATCGCATCTCCAACGCTCCATCAAAACCAAATCTCATCCTACCATTTTAATTATCTCATCTAACCCGATCGTCAACTATGTTTCACTCAACTTTTCCGACACCGATATGACGTATGTTAAACGTTTGATAATCGAGCAGCCTTGGCAACATCCTCCTCGGTTAACTAGTGACAAAATCTTCGGCTACTTTAATGGTTTGGTTTGCATGCACTATGGTGCAGGCTTTGGTTTATGGAACCCTTCCATCCAAAAGTTCAAGAGGATCCCCTCGTCGCCATTTAGTATGTTCCGGTTTGCAAAGATCCATGGTGGCTTCGGGTCAGTCAATGTTGACTATAAATTGGTGAGTTTCGTGCACTTGAATACGTTCTGCGCAGTGCACTCATATAGCCTAAAATCTGGTGCATGGAAATCAATTCAAGACTTGCCTCTCAAGGGTCTTGTATTTGACTCACAGGGTGTGTTTTTACAGCGTGCTTTACATTGGTTGATGCTTCAAGAAACAGATGGTGAACGGATGTTAAATATTCTAACATTCGATCTTGCAAGTGAGGAGTTTTGCAAGTTTCCTCTACCCGTCCATATATTTCCTGCTCCCCTATCTGATCCGGTTTGTAGGTGGCCTATTTATTCTTTAGTAGTCGTGGGAGGGGTATCTATGTATTTATCTAATGGAGAGTGGATGTAAGGCTTGGATTATGAGAGAATATGGAGTGGTAGAATCTTGGAGTATGCTTTATTCTTTTGATGAGCAGGTTCACAATTGCAAGCCTTTATTGCTTTCAAGTTGTGGTAAAATGGTACTTTTGGAAGAGAACTACGGCCGTCTTGTTTGGTACGATCTACAGAATAGGACGCGCAAAATGGTTCAAAGTACCATGGCTCAATCTTTTTACACAATTATTTGTGAGGAGAGCATTCACCTTCTTGGAAAGTTAGGAGAAGGTACAATGTCTGAAGATGTTTTGAAGTCTTTTTTTTTTTTTTTTTTTTTTTTTTTTTTTTTCCAATCCAGTTGGGAATGGGGAGGGGGGAAACTCACACGCACGGGTACCATGAGGACTTGAATCCAGAACCACTTGGAAGTACACAACAAAGGCATGAGCTAATCCAGCTAACATCCCATCGATTGAAATTGGTCTCTTTGATTTAGGTGTTATATGTACTTCAATCATATAGACCAAATGACGGTTTCTTTTCATAAAATGTCGGATGTTGATTATTTTTCTTTTATCCAAGGACCTACTTTCTTTTGGTCTTAGTATATATATATTTTTATTTGTTTCTTTTGTCTAAAGACTAAATTCTGTTATAGGCTGCTTGATTTTCCTTTTATATGACCATTTTCTATTCAAATGGCATCCTATGTAAGTTTTAGCAGGCCGGTGGGTGCGTGTCTTTATTGTACTTGGACATAATGACAGATTACAGATAAATATAATAAGCTTATGGATGAGATTATGTGCCGTGCATCTATTAGTGTCATGAATGTTCATGGATTGGTTATATTCATCATGTTAGACAAAGTTGCCTTAAATGCTTCTAAGTGTGATGAAGCCTTTTGCAGGGTGCTCTGTTCTTATGAGTTGATTGTTTCAATTGTAATGAAAACAAATCCCTAATTTTTCTCAAAAGAAGGGAAAAAAAAATTGTGATGGAACAGTGTGTGCATCTTCTTTGCTGAAGATAGCGCACTGTTTTGTGCCTTTTCGGCAGCTATGTACAAAATGCTTCCTTTCCTTCCTTCTCAATATTGCTAAGAATCGGTTGATCATTAATTCTTCTTGCAGTTACTATAACAGGTATAACAAATTTATCTTGGTGAACCCCTCAATAATTAATCAAGAGTTTGCAGAAGATTTACACCTCTCTTGAAGAAACCAAATTGTGAATGTTTGTTTAAAATTATACGCCGTATTGAAGAAATTATACCAAGTTCTAGTCTAGCCAAATGCCACACATAACCAATGGCTAGGCAAACTGTGGATTTTGCCCCTTTTTCTTGTAGAGTCCAATCTGGAATGAGAATTGAAGCAGTAGATTGTCAATTCCGGAATGAGAATTGTGTAATTACTTACCCTTTGTATATTCCTATTGTAATTAGGATTTCTTTTCTATATTCTAACCCTTTTGGGTTTACCACTTTGTACATCTTTATAAATACCTGCTTATTGGAGAAGACAGTGCCGGCCCTGAGGGTGGGCAAGGAGGGCAATGGCCATGGGCCTCGCATTTGTAGGGCCCCAAATTATATATATATATATTATATGTACCAAGTTGAAGAATATGGTTTTAGAGGAGAATAATTTCAATAGTTTAGCATTTGGAGGCCCCAAATATGATTACAAGTGTTTCTGAATAGTCCAAATGAAAATTATGTAATATACGAACATCAATTGCATGTATTTAAGTATTTAATTGCCAAAAAGTACTTAATTGCTAAAAGTAGTAATCAATGAAAGAAAACCAATAGGGACTATAAATTCTTTTATTTATCCAACAATTCTTGTTAGTAGATTATTTAGCGAGGAAATATGAAGGAGTGCAAAGTATTTGTATCCTCATTCTTGTTTATTTTCAGATTGGGGCAACAATTATATGACCAATACCGAAACTGTGTTTATTTATCCAAATTGTATTTAATTGCATGTTTTCTTTCCATGTTAGTTTATTATATTCATGAGAATGAAAGAGAAATGGGCCTCATTTTCATTTTTAGCCAAAGGTCATCCAAAAGTCAGGGTCGGCCCTGGGAGAAGAATAGATATCATAGAAGTTCCAATGTAGCAAAAGGGAATTTTGGCTAAATTGTAGAACATGATACATATGAGACTCCTTGACTTCACGTGATCGAAATGGCCCAAAAGTGAAAGCAAAGGAGAAAAGAGATTTTCTATTTAAACCCCGCACTTCTCTTTGTTCACCCAAATACTTAAATCATTAAGCTGTAAGTTTTATTATTGTGTAAAAAGACAAAAAAGGTCATCCAACTTAATAATTAACCCTAGTACATCTATACACCCCACCACTCTTCATATTAAGTTTTAGAAACCTCCTTCCAACTTCCTGTTTACAAAATCTCTCTCTCTCTCAACAATACCCAAGTGTTAGAATTCCAGTTACAGTTCTTGAAGAGAGATAAAGTTGTTCTCTTTCTCTAGAAAGTATTAAATTTCTAATTTGGGGTTTCATTTGTTTGTGTTCTTTTTTTTGCTGGGAACAAAGAAAATTATGGGGTTTAAATAGAAAATCTATTTTAGTTCTTATTTTTTCAGTTTGGGGTGTATTTAAGGGTAGTTTCGGAAGATTTGTGAAAATTTAAATTAAAAGTTGGGTGAACTTAGAACATGGGTGAACTAAGAGAAGTGTGGGGTTTAAATAGAAAATCTCAAGAGAAAAACCCTAACCCCGATCCAACGCATATAATATCCTCTTTACCCAACCGTCACAAACGGCAAACCAACATGCCAAACCTCCTAGCAGAACTATGGATCAACATCCTCACATGCCTCTCAACCAAGGACTTGGTGCAATTGATGTGTGTTTCTAAAGAATGGAACGATACCATCCAAGATCCACATTTGGCCATAACGCAATTCCAGTGCTCCATCAAAACCAAATCCCATCCCTCAATTTTTATGATCCCATATAGCCCGGTCATGTCCTATTATTTTTCACTCAACTTTTTCGACGACATGACGTGTGGAAAACTTTTGAGAATCAAGTTGTCATGGCAACATCCTCCGTTAGTTAGAGACATAATCTTCGGCTACTGTAATGGTCTGGTTTGCATGCTTTCTTTTATCGAACCCGTCCATATGAAAGTTCAAGAGGATCCCCTCGTCGCCTTTTAGTATACTTTGGTATCAAAACAGCTATAGTGGATTCAGGGATGATTCGGCACAGGGCCAATATTCCTTGCATGCTCCTCCTCTTCTATCTCCCTTAATACTGGTCTATAACCATCTTGATCAATTAATGTCTGGCTTGGCATGTAAGGTGAATGTAAGGTTGCATTCATAATTTCTTCCAATATATTAGAATCAAGTGCTACCTGTGGAGTGCTTAAGCAATTAGTTGGTGAAACATGTCCCAATAGCAATTCAGAATCAATGTTAGAAACATTTCTTGCACTAGCTAAAACCTTTTCCATGATATATGGCTCGTTGTTTCATTAAAAGTTGCTCCAAACGTCACACCCGCCACATCCTCAGGTCTCACCCCTATGCCATATCTTCTCACCCGATTACACTTCTCTCTTCCAAGCACTTTAGAATATACAATATTGATTTCCTCTGCTATTACTTCATCTGGTAGTTGGTTTTGCTTCTTTTTATTCCTAATATCAATGATCTTTGAATTTATATCTTCCAGCATGAAGTAATCACAAAGAATATATATATATATATATGTTAACTGTGCATTCTACTACATGGATGCCTCTATAACAAGCAACAAAAGAAAGTAGATCCTAAAATACAATCAAATTCAGCCTCACCATAGCTTTTGCAGCTGTCTTATTCATAGGTGTTCCATTCTTTCTTAGGTGGCACAGTTCAAATATTTTGCATCTGTCAGGGGAGACACCCTTGTGATTCACCTTCTAAAACTCACTAGACATAGTTCACATATCAAATATCATTTTAAATCATAGCACAAGTACCTAAAAGAAGTTTTTCTTAAGCCATCCACAAAATCACTTGTTCATGGCCCATTAAGTAAAAAAATTGAAAGTACATACCAGTTGTCCTATGTTTTTATCATTTATATACAATCAAAACATTATGAGAATTTACATAAGCAGACGTACAATATGATAACATGCTCCACGTTAATTAACTAGAAAAACTGTGACACTTACATATTGGTTCCTCATTTGGGCATATGATTTTGTCCCCATTGTGGTTCATCATCCTATGCTTCACACAATTACATTTATTTGTGACTGATTACATTTAATAAGCAAAACTAAACTAAACATTGAAACAAATTTAAATATAAAAAAGTTAACAAAATTAACAAAGCAGATTGAAAAAGCATGGTGACAATCGCAACATAGTGGTCCAGTTATTAATATGAAGAGAATAGTCAAATATTAAATTTTTAAAAATGATGGCACTCAACCAACCCAAAAGGAAAAAAAAGAGCATCAAACCAACAAGGGAAGATTTGATACCTGTTTAGAAAAATCCAACAACAAAATCTTATGTACTTTAGCCCTTCTTTCATTCCCTAATTTTCTCTTGAAGATGGCCAAGACAAATAGAAGAAATGGAAATACTTTAGTGAGCTAAAAACTAGTTTCTGGCTGCAATCAGATATTGCACTCGGTTATTATGTATGATCATATCTTATAGAACCAAAATTGAATATCAAAAACAAAATCATCAGAAATTTATCATTAAAAATATAAATCAAATCAAATTTAATAGAAACAAAGAGAGAACAAACAACACAATCAATAAATTAAATGCAAAATTTGTAGGAATTCAATTCAGAGATAAACATACCAGCAAAGCCAATGACTTTATCGAACTTGAGAAAGCAGTGATTATGAAGAATAGCTGATACCCCACCTTCAACAAAACAAAAATACCAAAAAACACCATATTTCATGAAACCCAAAAGAGAAGAAAATAAACAAAGGAAAAAAAAATGCTTGCAGAGAGAAGAAACATAGTTACAGTGAAAATGGCAAAACTTAGGGCATGCCTTGTTTGGCCTCCATATTTTGTAATACATAGATCTTGGGACCACCGCCACCACCACCCATCTCTCACTCGTTGAGCAACTTGAACTTCAAGGACCTAGAAATTTCCAAGAAATTTCCCCACGTCAATCAGGTTAGAGACCAAGTTGGCATTCCCAGAGGCTATGGCGGATTTTATCATACAGTTGAGAGAGGAAGAGGGTGTAAGATGATTGAGGGAGAGGTGAGATTATGAAGAAGGGTTTTTAAGAGAGAGAGAGAGAGATGAAACGTTTTTAACGTAGAAAGCGTGTTTCATTTTTCGCCTAGCCTTTATAATTAAGTGTGTATTATGATGTAGGAAAAATTATGGGTTTGTTCCTACGAAGGAAATTTGGAAAAGGGGAAAAATTCAAAATGAGAAAATTGGGCTTCAAATATGGAAAATCATGCTTGAGCATCAATTATGACGCCAGGAAGAGAAGGAAGTTGTATCGTTGGGATGTTCAAGTTACCTGATTTCTTGATAAGATCTATATTATAATTATATTTCTAGAATAAGTAATCAATCATGATATTATTTTCCTAATATGATTTTAATTAGGATTTAAATTATTTTCTTATTAGTTAAGTTCTAGAAATATTCTGGAACTTAGGGTTTCCTATAGTTTTAGGGTTTCTTTGTTTTCTATTTAAGCCAACTCATGGCATTGTATTGATAAGTTTTATCGCATTATTAACCAAATTTAGAGATTGTCTCTATTTTCTGATAGATTCCAGTCGCTGATGGATTTTAGTTTATCTTTTCTGATTTAGACGTTTGTTAATCCGTAAACCCATTCTTTCGTGCTGCATCAAGTGGCTTTAAGGTTTATTGATAAATTGGAAAAACATAACATAACCCTAGCCATAGGTAAAATTGTTTAAATACTCATAGAAACCCTAGGAATAAACAAGGAATTAAAATAGGAAAATAACGAAGTTTCCAAAACTGTAAATAGCTTTAAAACTGGATTTCGGATTGCTAAACGATCTCGGATGCCCAAAAAATCCCATATGTCATAGCCAAGTAATGAGTTTTACTTGTGACTTCTTTTTCTTCAAATCGACGGGTCATGGGCCTGATTCTAAGCTCGGAGCCCAAATCTACAATTTGCCCGATTTACCTTTGTGCGTGCATCTCTCTAACTCCTTTCGATTGCTTTCGCCATCTGTTCCACATCAGTCCCTTCCATTTTCGAAGAACTAGACCTGAGTTATCATCAAGTAAACCATCATGGAGTCTCCTTCTTGGAACAACTTCACACAGATTCACTTGTCAGCGGTGGTTTTAAATTTGGCATTGGTCATCTCTAGCTCTTCCTTCACTTTTTCCCTCACAGTATGAAACTATTCTGCCATATTAATAGTTACACTAGTCTTCTGGGCTTTAGGAAGCTTAACCAGGTCAATCATTGTTAGAAATATGCTCTTAAAGCCAACTAATTATGTAATAGTTAGAGTTAAGGACATCTTTGACAAAAGACATATTATGTTATCAATGGGCAAGAAAGGTTGTTTTATACATTAAATCATCCTATATTACCTTTCAATATGTAGAACAACCATAGTCCAATGAATATACAAGTGGATATGAGAGTTATGTAATACATGGAGACTTCTCGTCATCTCTAAATTCTGAATATGTTCTTGGTCAAAGGAATATTGGTTGGACGTTAATATTCCGCAAAAACCAGTACACACAGTATCGTCTCTATATGTAGGGAATGGAAAGGTCTCAAGTCATTAAGTGTGGAGACACATGATATTGACAAGTTAGACGCTAGATCAAAAATGTGTAGATTCATTGGATATCCTAAGGAAACTTTAGGATACTGCTTCTACCATCCAAATGGAAAATAAGTGTTTGTTGCAAGATCTGCAAGATTTCTTGAGATTGATTTTGCATTGGATGGCACATGTGTGTAAAAGGTTGAGCTTAAGGGAGAGTCTAGAGAGCCTCATGAACCTGAAGTAAAGTATGATCCAGTTGACAATCCGGTCCCTTTACCTACACTCACCCAACCTCCACATAGGTCTAAAAGGACCAATAAAGCACCTGATAGATATTTGGGCTTGCACCATGTTCTTCTCATAGGAGATGACATGGAATATCCTAAAACCTATACGAAGGCAGTGTTAGACATTGACTCAAAGAAATGGCAAGAACCGATGAAGTCTGAGATGGATTCTGTGTATGCCAACCAAGTTTGGACTTTGGTTAACCCACCCAAAGGTATTATACCAATAGGAAACAAATGGGTCTTCAAGAGGAAGAATGGCTCAAATGGCAAGGTGGAAACATATAAAGCTAGATTAGTAGCTAAAGACTACAGACAAAGAGAGGAAATTGATTATGAAGAAACTTTCTTTCATGTGGCAATGATAAAATCCATCCGCATACTTCTCGTCATAACAGCATATTATGACTATGAGATATGACAGATAGAAGTGAAAAAAACTTTTCTGAATGGCCACCTTCAAGAAGAAATCTACATGGATCAACCTAAAGGTTTTATATTTAAACATGAAGATAAGAAAGTATGCAAACTTCAAAGGTCAATCTAAGGACTGAAGCAGGATTCAAGGAGTTGAAACATTTGTTTTAATGAAGCCGTAAAAAGTTATGGTTTTAACCAAAATGAAGGTGAACCTTGTGTATACAAGAAAAACAGTGGGAGCGCAGTCGTATTCCTCGTACTATATGTAGATGACATAAATGTTTGGAAACCACATAGACATGTTGACCTCTGTGAATATATGGTTATCAAAGACCTTCTCAATAAAGGATCTGGGAATTGCACCTTACATACTGGGTATCAAGATCTATAGGGATAGATCGAGAAAACTAATTGGATTATCTTAATCCTTGTATGTGGACAAGGTGCTCAAAAGATTCCAAATAGAATATTCCAAAAATGGTTTTCTGCCAGTCAGACATGGTATTCACCTGTCTAAGAGCATGAGCCCTAAAACCCCAGAAGCAGTGATATAAATGAGTAAGATCCCATATGCCTTCGCAATTAGGAGCCTAATATATGTCATGCTATGTACGAGGCCTGATATCAGCTATGTTGTGAGCATCACAAGCAGATATCAATCAAACCCAGGATCAGAACACTGGAGTGCTGTAAAGACTGTATTAAAGTACCTCAGAAGGACCAAGGATATGTTCCTAGTTTATGGAGGAAGCCCAGAATTACTGGTGGAAGAATATACAGACTCAAATTTCGAATATGATGTTGATGATCGTAAATCCACTTCTGGATATGTGTTCATATTAAATGGAGGGGCAATCAGTTGGAGATGTTGCAAGTAGAGCACCACTGCGGACTCCACAACTGGATGAGGAAGTTCATTACTAAACTGGGAGTGGTCCCAAGCATTGAGTCACCAGTCATTTTATACTGTGACAAAAATGGGGCTATATTATAAGCCAAGAAACCAAAGTTTCATCAAAGATCCAAGCACATTCAGAGGCGCTATCACTTAATCAAGGAATATGTTGATGATGGAGATACTAGCATGCTCAAGGTGGCTTCAGCATATAAAGTAACAGATCCATTCACAAAGCCTATGAGTCAGCTTCAGCTGGACTAACACATGGAGAAGATAGGTATTGGATACATGTTAGATTGGCTCTAAAGTGCAAATGGGAGATTGTTAGAAATATGACCTTAAAACCAACTAATTATGTAATAGTTAAAGTTAATGACATTTTTGATAAAAGACATATTATGTTATCAATGGACAAGAATGTTGTTTTATACATTAAATCATCCTATATTACCTTTCAATATGTAGAACAACCATAGTCCAAGGAATACACAAGTGGATATGAGAGCTATGTAATGAGATTGCATACATGGAGACTTCCTATCATTCCTAAATCTTGAATATATTCCTAGTCATAAGAATATTGATTAGGAGTCAATATTCTGCAAAGACCAATACACACAGTATCATCTTTATAAGTAGGGAATGGCAAGGTCTCAAGCCATTAAGTGTGGAGACACATCGATATGTGTGCATGTACTTGTAGAAGAACAAGTACACTGAACGCGATCCAACACATGAGTTACAACATGGAAGTCTTTTCTCACATGTCAAGCTAGAACTCATAAATTGCAATGGTGCAAACTAATCCTTAAACCTGAGGCATCATAGATGTTTTTGGCTATGTTGTTAATCTTTGATGGCACTATACGGTCATACTAAATTATGCATAGTTTAAAGGTGCTCATCAGGATTCTCAATAGAGTTATGGAAGCAAATGAATGTACAACAAGGAATCTCTACTCTCAGTAAAGGAGAAAGAATATTCCAAGATATGATTGGTCAAATCTCTACGCAGAGTAGTGGATAAGACTTGAAAGAAGAAGTCTTCAAGTCTTACTAGGATAATCATATAAAAGGAATGATTCACATTAAGATATTGACAATTTTATTCCATGATCTAATAATGTGAATAAGGAGTATTGACATAAGAGAAGGATTCAATTGCACGATCATTCCAATTTGAATAGGTTTTTTCACAACGTCTTATTTAGCTCGGATAGCCTTGACTTGCTGCTAGGTGACAACCATGGTTTGTGGATGTCCTAAAAGGTTTTAATTAACCTTTATTAATATGAAGAATTAAATTGTGGAATTAAATTTGTATATCATCTCTGAGAAGTTGAGTCAACCCACTACTTTGCTAAAGGGAACCTACAGATCTGCACACCCAAAGAATGTGATTAGAGGTACAACAAATGGGGAGAAATGAAAGGAGGAGACATAAGTCAATGGTTAATATTCAAATGTCAAAGTCCACGGTCAAAAGTCAACATGTTGTTGACTAGAGCAATTGACCAAGTCAAATAGTTCGACCGGGTCAATTGCGTAAAACTATAATTATAATTTAATAGTTAAATTGTAATTAAAAGATTAATTATAGAATTAATATTGACATATAGAAATATTGGATTGGGTTTTTAAATATGATTTAAAAGGAAATGGACAAAAGAGTCCAAAAGGTTATTGGGCCCAAGGAATAAGGTGGCATAAGATGACATGATCCATGGACCAAATGGAACCCCAATACCCACCCAAATTGGTGTCATCCTATATAAGCTAAGTGTTGGAGAAAACCTAGCTAGGGTTTTTGGTTTTCCTACTTTGGTTGATGAGTGATCATCTTTGTATCCCATCTTCCATAAACTAAAAATTGGTCAAATTAAGAAGTAGACTAGCATCTATACGTCTTGATTGCATTTCTTCATCTTTAAGAGCATTTGGTGTGGTGAGGTAGAAGACTCTAATCTTGGAGCCTTAAGGTGAATGATTCAAAATCCAGAGAAACAAAAGATTTTTCCAACAAAAGTGTTCATTCTTGAGAAATCAAGAAAATGTCATCAAGGGTAAAGATCTATTCCTTCTTTCCTTTTTTTAATATTTTTTTTATATATATTTGTGTTCAAAGAGACTAGGCTAAGAAACTTCGTTTAAAATTAAAAAGGTTTAGTTCAACTAGTATAAACAAAATGAATCCTCCATTTAGAATGTTTTTGTTGTATAGGTTGTGGCTAAAGTTCATTTCCTAAATTCATTAATCAAGCATTTGGCAATTTCACATGGCATAATACCAATTCACATAGCATATACTATGTCCACACTTCAAGCTCATAAAGAAATGAATGAGGACAATGCTCAATGCTAAAACATGTCAAGAAAAACTTATACACAAGCTTTCCAAGCATTCTACCTGCATCCCACCTTTGGAAAATCACTAGAAATCAAGTGTACAACCAACAAATATCAAACTTTCCATATTAGAACTAGAAATATCTTCATGTTCCCAAAATTTCGTTGCACTCTAGGGAAGCATGTCAAACAGATTCCCAAAAACAAGCAATGCAGTAGAAAACTACACCATTTCGGCAACTTAAATCTTACTTTGAAATTGCACCAAAAATTCAATTTAGCTTCAAATGACACAAGACCAGTTCCAACATAACCATTGAGAAGTCTAATTTCATGTGTCAAAATATCCAGTTCAAATTATATAAAAAAATATTTTGAAAGTATAAAGAACACAACCCACAAGCTACCTTGAAATATTTTCACAAACACTTGATATGCATTACGTAAGTGAGCTTGTATGAGTTTTGTTCATCACCTTGCTTTACCTTAAATCAAACGATCAACCTCAGCAGTCAGTACCTAACTCATAAATTCTGAGAGTACAAAGTAATTCAAGCTTCAAGCATAGAAAACAAGCATGCAACAAAGGCATCCACATCAATTCATGAACGTACTTTAGAAAAATGAAGGCAGAGAACACTACAATGGTTGGATGATTCTTAATTTTGGATATGTTATAAACAACACAATTTCGAGCAATTTCATGATGGAATAACAAGAATCTGAGCATCAGAAATTAAAAACAAGTGTAGAAACCAAATCTACAAAAACTCACCAGTCATGGATGAGCACAGAAGTTGTAGACAAAGTTTGAGGCACTAAAAAAATTCAAAACAAAAACTCAAGTTTTTATAGGATAGTGCTCGAGCAGATGAACAACTTTCATGAAGGAAGTTTTCTTATTTGAGCTTCTGAAATATGATTTTTGTACTAATGAACAGTACCTAAGCGTTCAGACTGTGAAGATGGAGAGAAGAAGAAGAAGAAAGAATAAAGAAGAAGAAACGGGTACGAGCTGAAGAGAGAAGGGAAAAAAAAACCAAAGTGGGATCACCCCAGCCAAAAGAAGATTAAAAAAATCTAAATGAATTCTTTAAGGAGGCAACACACCCAACTCTCTTATGTTTTCTCAAGCTTGTCTCTCCTTCAATATATACAAGCATTTGTGAATATTTCCACACCGAATATATACATGCAAAAATATATATATCAGTCAAGCAAAATTATGCCATGAAAAAGAAAAAAGACGTTATTTTATGAACAAGTCAAAAGCAAAATATATGCTCTGCTCAACTAGACTTAGTAGAATAAATGTAAATTCAAGCAAAATCAATGACATAATCGTAAAATCAAGGAAAATCAATGGCATATAGTTGTGTAAATTCAAGCAAAAGTAATGGCGTAATCGTTAATTCAGGCAAAATTGAGGGCATTACTGTAAATTCAAGCAAAATTGATGGCATAATCGTAAATTCAAGAAAAATCAATGGCATAATCGTAAATAAAGGCAAAATCAATGGCATCATTGTACTTTCAAGTAAAATCGATGGCATAATTGTTAATTGAAGCAAAATCAATGGCATCACTGTAAATTCAAGAAAATTCAATGCATAATCGTAAAGCAAAATCAATGGCATAATTGTAAATTCAAGAAAAATCGATGGCATCACTGTAAATTCTAGCAAAAGCGATGAAATCACTGCAAATTCTAGCAAAATTGATGGCGTAATTGTGAATTCAAGCAAAAGTAATGGCATAATCGTTAGTGCAAGCAAAATCGATGGCTTTACTGTAAATTCAAGAAAAATCAATGACATAATCATAAATTCAAGAAACAACGATGACATAATCGTAAATTCAAGAAAAATTGATGGCATAATCTTAAATTCAAGCAAATTGATGGCATCGCTGTGAATTCAAGCATAATTGTTCAAGCAAAATCAATGGCATAATTGTAAATTCAAGAAACATATATGGCATCACTGTAAATTCAAGCAAAATCGATGGCATAATCATAAATTCAAGCAAAATCGATGGCATCACTGTAAATTCAAGCAAAATCTATGGCATAAGCATAAATTCAAGCAATCCTTGACACGTGAATGTCTTTGTATTTTTCTTGCAGAGACATTTTTGTCATAATTTTTTTTGGTGACACCAAAGGTTACAACTTCACTTGGTATAGTAAGTAAACATGCAACCATGGCATGAACGCATCCTTACTTCATTTGAAGTAATAATAAAAAAAGAAATAACGGTTTTAGCATTTGTGCGTGGGTTGGGCCTTTTTAAGCCTACGCTTCGCAAAAACACACACAAAGAATAAGAAAAAACAAAAACAAAAATACGAGTCTTTCTTTGGCGACTGCAAACAAAGCGGAGCCAGAGTTTGACAACAATGGCTGCTTGCCCGCAACTCGACGCTAAACCCTTCAGCCCCCTTCTCTCTCCTAACCCCGTTTCCACACGCACCCGGAAATTGGGTAGGATCAGCTGCTCCGCAGCCTCGCCTTCCAAACGCCACACCATCACTTTGCTTCCTGGCGATGGCATTGGCCCCGAAGTCATCTCCGTCGCCAGGAACGTTCTCAACCTCGCCGCCTCTATCGAAGGTTCCTTCAATTCCGTTTCGTTTCTTTATTTGTTCATTTTAAGTTCGATCTTGCTTGTTTGGTTTCCGAGAAAGGAAAGGAAAATCGAAACGGAAAAGGAAGGCCGTACTTGGATTTTCATTACGTCTTTTTTGGGTTCTCTTTAGTTCCTCTGTCCCTTACTTTCCCAACATTTCTCACTTATTCCGTTAGTGCCTATAGTTTTCAGAGTTAGTGTTTAACAATAAAGCGTCTGTATGTGTAATCAAGTAACTTTTGCTGGGAATTTGGTATTTATTTACTGTTTGCTATTTATATAACTGAATATATTTGTATAATTAGGGATTGAGTTCAAGTATCAAGAAGTTCCTGTCGGCGGAGCTGCATTGGATTTGACCGGAGTTCCATTACCGGAAGAGACCCTTTTGGCTGCTAAGCAATCTGATGCAGTTCTGCTTGGAGCAATTGGGGGGTAGATCTCACAATTCCTTTCTCATTACTTATTTTTTCAGTATGCCGACATTTGCAAGTGGTGTAATTTTACTTAATTAGATTATTGGTTTTTAAGGTACAAATGGGACAAAAACGAAAAGCATTTGAAACCAGAAACTGGGTTACTTAAGCTTCGAGAAGGTCTTAAAGTATTTGCGAATTTGAGGCCTGCAACTGTTTTACCGCAGGTAATATCTGTTCTAATGCAAATGATTCAGAATTTGGTTTAGAGTACTTTTTTTGCTTTTCCTCTTAGTTGTTAGTTCTTAATTTAAATGCGCCTTAGTACATTAGGATTGTGTTCAGAACATCAAACTGCAAATGATTGCATTGAAAAGTGGTGATTGACCCATATGAATTTTGAGGTTTTTGTATGTAATATAATGATAATTGAGTAACTAAAGTGTACATAATTGATTTATTCTCTTAAAACCAATGTATCTTCATTTCAAACTTGTCTATGAAAAGTGTCTCATTTTATGGTATTTGCTCTTTCAGTTGGTGGATGCTTCAACTTTGAAGAGAGAGGTTGCTGAAGGGGTGGACCTTATGGTTGTAAGAGAGCTAACTGGAGGTTAGTTTACAAGACTCGAATAGTAATCAATCAAATGAACTTTCTTGTGTTGGTTTTTTCCCACTTGAATTAACTATGATTCTTTCTTTTCTTTTCTTTTTTTGTTGTCGGGAATAGGTATATATTTTGGAAAGCCAAGGGGTTTTGGCACCAATGAAAACGGAGAGGAGATTGGCTTCAATACGGAAGTGTATGCCGCCTATGAGGTTGTTTTCTGATTTCTCTGAGAGTTCCACATTAAATTCTTGGTTTTCTGATGATAGTGGGAGTCATTAGTGGTTCCAAATGGAGATTATATCTGCTGCGGTTGTATATAAACTCAAAGAATTTGTCTCTATACCCCACCCAGAAAAGTTATTGAAACTACCATTTTATCCTATACTCTTCAAAAAGCTAAAAGGTCAAAAGATTGGTGACTGGTCACCAGTGCATAGCCTCGGCGCCATCGCTGACCATGGCTAGAGGGACAGGGGGGGAAATATTTTTCAAGAAAAAGGAGTTCCATTTTTTTGGGGGGTAAAACTACAGCCTGTAAAATCAGGATGTGATTTTACCCAAAAAAGAAATGGTGGGGTATAGATATAATTTTACCCCAAAAAAAGAAGCAATTTTCTGGGTTTAAACAGAGTCACTCTTATATCCTTTTATCTCTAATTCAAGCCTGTAGACTTTTCCTTGTAATATCAGTGGACTGATTTAGTCAGGAACAACTGAAATTCATAGTTGTTGTAAAAGTGTATTAAGGGGGATGCTTTTTCTGTGAGAGTGAAAGTTTTGGTCTGCATTCAGAAAAATTAACTTCACTGTGACCAAGGATTAAGATATCGATATCAACAGATATGTCGGTGGTTCAGATTTATGGAAATATCAATAGATTTATTGATATCGTGAAAAACAAAAACTCACAAAAGTGTGCTTTGAAACATAGAAATTTCAAATGGAACTTGAGGATATGCGATAACAATCAATAATGCATAAATTAGGCACGTAAGTTTTATAAATAGTTTATCCATGCTAAAGGTAAAGAAAGCTGGGAGAGGAATACCCATTTGGCCTAATATTTTGTTTATATTTTATAATGGGTGGTGGGAGCTGGGTAAGGGGGTCTATAACATCAAACATAGTTTCTTGGTGTAAAACAAATATGCAAAATCCTTGTGAGTTTGTGTTGACTTTTCCCTGTGAAGAATTCACAAGCATTTTCATTGTATTGGGACTACTGGTCAATTACGACCAATATGGAACTTCTTAGTTTTAATGGGAACTTTAAAATTGCCAGGTCTGCTTTTAGTAAATTCTATTCAGAAGTTGTTTCGTTAATTTTTCCTCCTTTTATAACTTTATAATTGCCAGGTCTGTGTGTCAATGGTTATTTAACATGGACAAATGTTCTTGGCAGATTGATCGCATTGCTCGTGTTGCGTTTGAGACTGCTCGGGAAAGCGGAAGGGAAAGCTCTGCAGTGTTGATAAAGTTGGAAGGTATGTTGTTTTTTTGTTTATTTTTTGTAAAAAGAGAATTTTGTTTTTTTTTTTTTTTTTTTTTTTTTTTTTTTTTTTTTTTCCTTCATTTCAATTTAAGGTTATTTGGGAAAATTGTGAGAATTTGTTTAAGATTTTTCCCAAAGAGAAGCATCAAACATTTTGTTGTGTTTATAACGGCATTACATGCTATGAGACTAGCGAGTCTTCTCTTCAACATCCTGATGCATAACCAGTACGTTGATTGTGTCTGATCTCTCCCCTAGAGATTACAAGAAATTTGGCATCTTGTCAGCAAAGATGACATGGTTTCTACACATGTGCCTTTATGATTTTGTGGGTTGAGTATTTCAGCTTAGTTTTTGGCTTGAGTTGTGAAAAGCATAAAAAATACCCAGTTGTGCCTCTTCAGTACTGTTTCGGTACTGTAAATAAAATCCTTTCACTTGTAAAAGAAATTTATGGGTGTTTAACCTGGCTTCTATATGCAGATGATGCGTGACCCGTACACTTTAACCTTTTTTTAACCTGGATGTTTGTTGATTAAGCGGCACCAAATATTTCATAATGATACACCATATATGGTAGCATCTGTGACGCGTGTCTCTCTGTATTTGGCATATGTGGTTGCAAAGGAGGCTATATAAGTTCTTGTGCTAAATTCATGCCAATCTAAAAACAATAAGTACCAGAGATATTAATATATCTTATAATTATCAAATTACTGCTGAAAATGAGTAATCAAGCCAATGGCCTTTGGGCCTGATAACATCTCCTCCATCTTACAAAGGGTAAAGGGCGATGTCCATTTCCTTTTTAGTTTGTGAGACTGAAATAAAAACGAAAGATAAATGATAATGAGTCTACCATGTGTTGCCCTCTTGTATCGTCTTCATTGATTGATCCAATCAAACGGATTATTGCCATCAATCTGATCATAGCATTTCAAGAGTTACTAGCCAAGTATGCTATTTTTTGGGTCATAATGATCCATTGACACTGTGCAGGCTAAATTTGGATCACTACAAATGTTGCCTGTGATATTTTGGGAAAAAATGCTTGCAAATATTGATAGGCTACTTGACAATATTGTTTCTGGTGTATGCCTCTTGCTTTTTCTTCCGTGCAGACATGCTTAAGATTAGTGTCTGTTTATAATATTGATATATTTGATTCAATGGATATCCAGGCATCAATGTTTTGGAGGAAAAGAATCGTGGCAATAGCCTTGGAATATCCTGACGTTGAGCTCTCACACATGTATGTTGATAATGCTGCAATGCAGCTTGTTCGTGATCCAAAACAGGTTTGTCGAAGTCCGTTAGAATTATCCTCCTTTAATCCTAATAGGATCAAGAATATTGGACGAGAGGAACAAAATTCTAGAGCATCCTAAATGATAATTGCTAGTCTCATGATCTTTGCCAATGAAAATTTGCAGTTTGATACGATTGTAACAAACAACATATTTGGCGATATATTATCCGATGAGGCGTCGATGATTACTGGAAGTATTGGGATGCTTCCATCTGCTAGTCTTGGGGAATCGGTAATGCAAACTTTTGTCTCTCAGTGGTTCAAGTTAAGCTTTATATGTGTTAGGAATTTCCTTCTGATGGGGATTTCCGGCTGTGCCTTAAGTTTGGATTCCGTTTTATCTGACTATATTAAAATTCCCGTTGGCACAGGGTCCTGGACTTTTTGAACCCATACATGGTTCTGCTCCTGATATTGCTGGACAGGTTGGTTTGCCTACATTATCAATTTTTTCCTCCTTGGAGTAACATGCCATTTAATATGTGGAATATAACGGTATAAATGCAGGATAAAGCAAATCCATTAGCAACAATTCTCAGTGCTGCTATGCTTTTAAAGTACGGTCTAGGGGAAGAAAATGCTGCCAAGAGAATTGAGGCTGCAGTTCTAGATACTTTGAATAAGGGGTTTCGAACGGGTGACATTTATTCGGCAGGAACTGTATGTACATTTTTTATTTCGCACTTATTTGTTTCTCTCTTTGGTTGGAAAACCTGATACCACAAAATATTGCAATGCTCCTCTTTTGTGAAAAACCAAAGAAGCTATGGAATGTGTAGCATAAATTAGTTGTTGGCATCCCTATTTCCTATCTTCTACCTAAGTCCACATCAAATAACGATTTGTTCTCTTAATCTCTTTGCATCCTTGTTAAAAGTCTTTGAGTAAGTAATGCAACTTCTCATGTTGTAATATTTTAAGTCGATGGTTTAGCCTATCTTGATGTTTGGTTTGATTATCTTACAATTGGGTGAGAACCATTGATTTAACTATCCTGGTTGGTAAACCAGCATGCCTTGGGTATGGTGTGCAATAGTTCCTTGAGGTGAAAAAGAAGGGAAAAAAGAAGTGAGAATAATATATATTGTATTAAGTTATGGGCTATTTGAAAATTCAATTGGAATTCTTGAGTCTAAATTTGTTTTTCATATATTTGTACAGTAATAGTTGCCTACTTTTCAGTGTAAGCTTCTCCTATTTTGATTGATTGTCCCTTGATGGCTAATATTGGCTTTATACAGAAGTTGGTAGGGTGCAAAGAAATGGGTGAAGAGGTTTTGAAGTCGGTAGATTCGCTAGTTCCTTCTCCAATATGAAGTGATGCACGCATTGATCAGCACTGACAACAAGGGCTCAATATCGTTCAATGCATGATATCTGGAGTGAAGATGTCATTTTGGTCAGTTGAAAGCAAATCCAAAGATGTCATCCAGTATGATTTTCTTTTGTTCATAATTTGGAGGGCATCTTGAGGTGAAATAAGACCATTTTTGTAACTGTCCCAGAGATTTTATTTAATTTTAACCTTTTGACTTAGAATTATGTCCTAGACATTATCCTTGTTTAAAATATGCATATCCATCAAGGGATTGTTGTAACTCGGAAACATTGTTGCCTAGAGTGGAGATTGAAAGACATTACATTTTGAAGCTTCTAAGATCATTTCGTTCTCTTCCTGCTGAAGCTATTTATTTTCTCCGTTTTGATCTAGGCGTCGGCGGCTGTTCGTGTGGCTTTTTCCCGACTGGCAATACATATAACTCTTTTTTTAATTTTTATTATCTCCTCTGAATAATAATTTTACTAAGTTATCACTTGGAAACTATTTAAAGGATTCATTCTTTATCCATAATGAAAATTACTTTAGAAATGCTCCCACACGAGCTGGTCGACTTTATCATGAGTTGAGGGTCGTGTCCTAAAACTTAGATAAATTTTTTTGAACTTTTGGAGAGATGCTAACAAATATAAAAGTTATGATTGATGTATAAGAATACATCCTTCCACTTATAAATAAATAAATAAAATGAAATAGCCATTATTTCCTTAAACAAGTCAAATTTACATGCCAAACTTAATCTTATTGGGCTTCATTTGATGCGGGCGTAGTGATTTTACTATGGCCTTTCTCAGGTTTAGGAGTTTGACATGAGAACTTGCCATAATGTATCGATTGGGGCATGTTTAGTGTATTGTGGCTTCTTTTTTTTTCTTTGTCCACTTTGGACTTGTACACAAGTTATAAACACTATAAATTACTTCAAAAAATTAAGAGAAGAAAGAATAATTATATATATAGAAAGGTATTCGGACAAAGAACCTAGGTATTTGAATTTTCATGGCACCTTAGCAATGTGTGTGAGAAAACCATGAGTGTAGAATTGATTACATAGAATCAATAAAAATGAATTTTGAATAGTGTAGTATTTGTCAATCTTCTCCTAAAAATCAGTGCACAAATACATTGTAATTTATCTGTAAAGAACATAGTTTATCTAATGAATGTAATTGCATATTTCTCTCTTCACCATGGATTTATGTGTTAAACATTCATATTCATGCAAATTGGATATGAAAGTTGCATTTCAAGACTGCATTGTTGTACTTCCACAGTTTTATGTTGAAGTGCAAATATCTCTTTCATACTTAATATAAATTTCTCATTTAAGATAACGTAAAAGTTTTCTTTTAATTGACCTGCAAATCAGTGGTCTCATGTTCGGATTTTCATGACACTTTGTTAGTGTTTGTGTAAGAAAACCCTCTCTTTCCCTTCTTAACTTTGACAACGACAAAAAAAAGGCATATTTATTTGAAAATACCCAAATCTTTTGATATTGTACATTATGTCAAAATAAAATGGGGTCAATCGCAAAAGGCACATTTGAATTATGAGAAGAACTTCAATTTAGTATCAGACCAAGATTAGTTTGTAAAATACAAGCACTTTTGAATTACAGGGGTAAACTTCAATTGTATCAAATCTAGACATTCTTTGAATGTCAAACTCAAAGGTTAAAAGTGGTTTCAATGTACATTTTTTGTCACTTATGCGGACGCTTGATAAAAATAAGAACTATATAAAACTCGGATTTTTACATGGAGAATAATTTTTATTAGTTAAATGTAAAAAGGATATGAAGGATGTACTCACTTTGCAACCGAGTTCAAATTTCCCTTAATTTAGAGTAAATTAAAATAGAATATCATTTATATAAAAAAGGATATGAATAATAATAAAATTAATTAAGGAAAGAAGGATAAAAAAAAATTATAAAAAAACAAACTCTAAACTTTTTTTTTTTTTTTTTTTTTTTTTTTTTTTTTAAATTTTTTTTTGACAAAAATTAATTTTACATGTAACACATTAAAAACATCTAAGAAAAAATCTATATATAGATTGGACTCCAGACTACATATATAGATAGAGCGCCAGCCCAAAAATCTCCCGCTAAACTGAAGACTCTGTCATCTCTATTACTTCCATGTCACCGAGTTCGAGCACGGCACATGCCGGAGCCTCGCCCGGCGAGGTTTTCAGGTCGCAGCCGGCCATTATCTCCGGCGATCCCAGTGACTCCTCATATTCGTCGTCTTCCTCAATCTCCAACATCACGCAGGCCTTTCCTTTCTCTTCTGGAAACCCTAGAATCGAAGAGACCAGAGGCATCATGCTTCTCTACCGCGATGACGCCGACGTCGTTTCCACCTCGCCCTCTCACCTCCCCGTAAGCTTATTTCCTTTCATTTCATTTCATCTTGACTGCCCTTTCTGTTGTGTCTTTCGATGTGCTAAGTAATGTTTTGGCCCTAAACTTAGTAAAATTAAAGTGTTAATATCAATTTTAAGGGAATGTTTTGCATTTTCAGTTCATTGAAAAAAATGTATGGAAATTGGTAGAATTGGGCGTTTACTGGATTTGTGTTCGTCAATTATGAAGCAAAATTGAAGGAAATTTTAACAGTAAATAAAATGTTTCTCAGCATCCAGTAATGTGGAGATGATTTTGCGAAGAAAATGATAGGAAAATAGTAAGTAGCACTTATGTTAAAGTTTCTTTAACAATACAAAGCATATTCTTATCCTATGAACTCCATATTTGACGACTACAAAGAGCATTAAAAAGATCCCTTTCTAGGGAGGTTATTATTGAAAGGACCAAACTTGTTCCTTTCTAAGAATTGATTTTTTTGGCTAGTCAAAGTCTAAATTGATTTTCCAATTGTTCAAGAGGTGTTGAACTTTGGTAACCTCTTCCAACAAATTTATTGTTCCGGAGTCTTTAAAAATGTCGAAGTTTGTTAGATGTAATTGAAGAACCTGGGGTAAAGCAAAAACGACAATGCAAGATTGATGTGGATGTCCATTTTATGTAGGTTGGAAGGAAGCCACTTGTTTGTGTGCTTGGAGTGCCGAATCACATGACATATGCAGACTTTTGCCAGTTTTGTGGTTCATTCATTCAGCATATTTTGGAGATGCGGATTGTCAGGTTTCATCTTTGAAAGTTTTGTCATTTCTGATCCTGTATTTCATTTTTTTGTGTTGTTGAATTTAATCTTGATGTTATTTTCTTGTTTGTGGTTTAGGAATGATGGAATGGAAGATCGTTACAGCATTTTGATTAGGTTTGATAGTCAGGACTCCACAGATGATTTTTACAAGCATTTCAATGGAAGCCGATTTTCGTCGCTTGAGGTTTTCTCCACTAACTCCATACTCTATACCTATAGACATTAGACACATAGACCCTTGATTTGGGAGGACTTGTACAAATTTTCAACAGTTACAACAGTTTTAAGCTTTTATTGTTGTCGTCCTATTTATTATCTGGGATTTAATATAGGTGGAGGCTTGTCGCATTCTCTTCACGGTAGATGTTCAATACACTGGTTCAATAGAACATGCACAGGCATCATCGGGAAGCTCAACCGAGCAGCCATCATGTCCAGTCTGCCTTGGTATGCACTTATCTATGTGAAAATTTAAGTTGTATATTTATGGTTTACTTTTTGTTTTTCCTTTTGTCTTTAATGTTTGGAGATTTCTTACTTAACCTTATTTTACAGAGAGACTAGACCAAGATATGGGTGGAATTCTCACGACTATCTGCAATCATTCTTTCCATTGTTCTTGCATTTCAAAATGGACGGATTCTTCTTGTCCTGTAAGTAATTTTTGCAAGTGTTTCAACTTTTTTCTCCCTTTAGATTTGTGTACATGTGTATATGTGTGTGAACAGGCATAAATGCATGTACAAGACCATGTTCAGAAGTTAGCGCACTAAATTGATTGGACTCCTTTTTTTTTCCCCTTCCCTCTCCCTAGCATGCTCTATCACATGCTTGTTTATAATATTGTGAGACTCGGGCACCACCTTATGTACAAAGTGATAGAACTCAATCAAAGTGATTGGACTCTAGCATTGTGTTTGATTCATGGAAGTGGAGAAAGATGTCTGTATCCAAATCTCCTCTCCCAGGGTAGTTGGACCAACGCTAGGTCACCTGTTGCAATTAGTTGTTTCTACAAAAGGACTGTAATTGGTGAAAATTTAATCTATGGATCTTAAAGGGGTAGTTTCGAGCAGAAAATAGGACAATCTACTGATGTAGACAATAGTCCATCATCTTGCTTTTGGATGAAATGGTTTCTATCTTCGAAGATAAATACGTTTTTCTTTCTTTCTTTTTCTGCTCAGCAGTAGTACTGTAGTAGACATGACAGCCATGCTAATGGGAAAATTTGTCTTTGTATCAGTGCCTCTGCAATTAGACTATCTTTTTTCAGGTCATCTACCCTCTTCAACCCTCTTTACTGGGGTTAAAAAGAAAAAACTTAGAGCTGCCCACCCTGATTTCACATCTAGAATCGCTTTTGTTGCATCAGACCGTGAACAGTCAAGGAAAAAATCAATTAAGTAATATAGTAGGAAAGTTATAACATACAAACTTGAATTTCAAGGTCATGCATGAATTCTTTGGGAGTTTATCCGTTTATATCACAATATCAATTTTGCACCTGTGCTGGGTGTTTATTCCCCACTTATGGTTTAGCCCTCTTATTATTGATAAATGATTAAGCAAGAAGTGCAGAGGAGATGGAGACCAAGTACATGGTTACAAAGAATCATTCACAAAAATAAAAGGGGAGACTAGGGAAAATAAAAGAGGGCAAAACATGAACAAAAGGAAAACATGACACTAAGACCCTATAATTCAAAGTTTGAACTGAGCTTAAAAAGAAACCAAAGCCATGATAGAGCAGTTAAAGCCAAAAAAAGAAAGCACGTTACGGAAACTCTCATATTCTAATACGTTGTCATAATACCTAGTATAAATTTTCTCATTTGTGATAAATAAAACGTACAAATGTGCTTATTGACGGAATACATCTAAGTTCTTTGAATGCGTAAGAGGACCTAGGTTACCAGTTCTCTTTTGGTCAACCTATGGTTAAGCTGCAGTCTATGATTTGGCTACAGCTTTTGTTCTTCAAATTTGTTACATTCACTTTCCTGCTATCGTTAGCTAGGTTGTGGCTAAAGAGTTGCAAATGACTTTGCAAGGTAGGTCCTTAATATTCATTGACTTGTCTACCACATGTTATGTCAGGTATGTCGATATTGTCAGCAGCAGCCTGAAAAGTCTAACTGTTTTGTTTGCCAAACTTCTGAGAATTTGTGGATGTGTGTTATCTGTGGCTTTGTTGGCTGTGGGAGGTATATTATTTGACCATTTAATTCTTATTTTTCTTATCACTTTTGGGGGAAAAAAATCTCTCCCTCTCTCTGTATGTATCTTTATCATACTCTGTTGCATACTCTGAAATATTTGGTGTAGGTATAAAGAAGGACATGCCATAAGACATTGGAAAGATACAGAACATTGTTATTCTCTTGAATTGGAAACGCAGCGTGTGTGGGATTATGCTGGAGACAATTATGTTCACCGCCTAATTCAATCTAAAACTGACGGGAAATTGGTTGAATTGAATTCACCGTATAATGAGTGTGGAAGCTGCGAATGTATAGATTCTGGATTCAGTGAGGCCCTTTTGAACAGTAAAGTAGAAGCGGTAATAAGTTTACCCTTCATGTCACTTGATACAGACAGTAACATTGCCATTATGTTCTTTGTAGTTTGCATTTCTCACATTTTGTAACATTATCTGCAGATTGTTAATGAGTACAATGAACTGCTTGCTACTCAACTTGAGAACCAAAAAGTGGTAAGATCATTCTTCTTATTCCTTGCTGAAATAGTTTACTATTTAAACTTGTTTGAGCTTGACATGTAGTGTTACATTACCCATAATTGATATGTGGATTGCAGTATTTTGAATTGTTACTGCAAGAAGTTAAAGAAGGAACTGAAAGAGAAATTTCTAATGCTGTTGAGAAGGCTGTACCACTAAAGAAAATGCAGGCCAAGCTGGACAGATGTGTAAAAGAGAAGAAATTTCTTGATGATGTAAGTGTTAACTCTTGTGCTTCTAGAGTAGCTGGTTGAGAAACTCATGTCCTTCTAATTGGGCCACACTTTAGAGTTTGGTATGAGTTATCACCTAGCCAGTAACTATCTAAAGATCTTTTTGCTTCTACATGCAGCTTAATGAAAACCTTTTAAAGAATCAGGAGATTTGGAAAGCAAAGATACTTGAAGCTGAAGAGAGGTATTGGTTTCTCCCTCTCTTTCTTGTTTTCTGAATTTTATTTTCTACATCATCCTAAGTTCATTGACTTGATGTGATAGTAAGTAATTTGACTTTTGATTTGTTTTTACGTTAACCTAAGTGGACACAGATCATCAACTTCAAGCTAATTTTTTCTCTTTGGATTTTATGCCTTAATTGTCATAGATAAGGAACAAAAAAATTTCGCATGGTTGGATGTCCTACTGATTTGACTTATACCACCAAGGTTTAAGATTATGGCAATATCAAAATGGAGACGTGGTGAATATTTGAGATGTATGCACTATTAGATGTCTGATCACTTAGGCTTTCTTGTTGCAGTGTACAATTTTTTTTTGACACTTGTTAAGAGCTTATATAGATTGTAATCCCTTGACCCACTCTTTAAGATTATGCAATTTTTTCCCTTGAAAAGTTGCTCTTTTTGTATCATACTAAAGTAGTCTATGCAACAATTTTTTTTAAAAAAATAAAAATTTATCATAAAAAAAAAAAGTTGATTTATTTATCATTTCCTCACTAAAATGAAATTACCATTTTCTCCTTGATTTGTTTTGTTTTTAACGTTTATGAGAATCCATTTTGTAGATGTTGCAATATAGTGTAAATTTATTTGGTTGTTTTTCTGCTATTATTGCCTAACTGGTCCTAATTCTTGTACTTTTCAGGGAGAAAAAGACTTTGAAACTAAAGGATGATAAAATTAGCGACTTAGAAGAGCAGGTGATATAAGATTGTCATTCTTCCTTTCCTTTCAGAGAGAGAGGGAAAGAAATTTCATACTAGACAATTTTTAAAGCCCGATACCTTCGTATCTGGCTGGCCTTAATATTTAAGCATCCATGTAAACTAAGGACTTCCTTTGTTAATTTACACCTTTTTACAGCTTAGGGATTTGATGCTCTATCTTGAGACTGGGAAGACAGTGGAGCAGCCATCGATATCAAATGAAATAAAGGATGGCACTGCCTTGCCAGCATCGATAGAGTTGTCGCAGCCATCAAGTAGCAAATGATATTAAGGACTCCAGTCTCTTCCAGAAGTTTTCAATGAATGTATGGAAGCGGGCTCAAAGACTAATAACAGGTGGAGGAGAATCCAAGTTGAAGGATGGATGGTTCCCCTCTTGTACTGCCCCTTGAGCTGGTTCTGTTTCATCTCGGGTGCCTGTTTGGTTCTTTTTTTTTTGGTGGTTGCCAAGTTGTGTATGGTAAGGGGGTTATGAGTTGCAAAATTATGGTAATGCTTGATGGTTGTTGGGAATTTATGCATTCAAACCCCACTAGGTGATGATGGATGGTAAAGGGGTGGATACTTGTAAAGATGCTCAAGGTTATGTAAAAAATTTGTGTATATTCATATATCATCCAGGGTGCACTCCAAACCTAGCAGCTGCACATCCCAAAAGAATTTTGCATTGCTAAAGTGTAAAAAGCTCTTGAGCAAAACATTTTAAATACCTGAACTACTTGTTCCTTATTTTTCTTTCTTAGGCCACCTCCACAGCAGGCACTTTTGCTAGGGCAGGAGGCCCCTTTGCTGGGGTTTGGACCTCCACAGCAGGAGAAGCAGCCTGGGCAAGCTCAAGGGCACATCTTGCTTGGGCTTCAGCCCGAAGGTGCAGACGTCAACGAGCCAAAAAAAAAAGAAAAAAATTCAATTTTTTTTATAAAAAAACCAAAAAATTATGGATGTTTTCCCTATAAATGCATAACAATTTTATTCATTTTTCACACCAAATCCTCATACAAACTCTTCTCCTACCAATATTTGTAAATTGTAATATTTTTTTTACAAATTTATAAATAAACTCAATCCTAGACATGTATTTATAAAAAAATCCAAGCACTATTTAAATATAGAAACACACCCAAAATCAACCCCAAAGTCAACTTTTTGGGTGTGTTTATAAATGAGTTTTGAGTGTGTGTAATGATGGATTTTGGGTGTGTTTATAAAGTGTTTTGGGTGTTGGGTTTTTTTATAATTTCAACCTCCATTTTGGGTGTTTTAGTGAAACTCCCTATTTTTTTTTCTTGCATAATCATTTTATTTCTTGCATTTCTAAATTGATTATATTTTGTTGCATATCCTTTTTTTTTCTTGTCCTTGCCCTAGCCTTTTGGGGTGGAACCAAAAAATGCAAAGCTGCCACTATTCACGTGAATAGTAGCAGCCCTGCCCTTGCCTTAACCTTAGTCTTTTGGAGTGGACATGCTCTTAGAGATGATATTGGGTTAAAGTAGTAAAGTCAACTCTACATATTTTATTTTCAAATATTATTGCAACACCGTTATTTGATTCTTTCAATAACTTGTATATATTGGATAAGACTTTAATGTCTGGACTCTGGAGTTCCCATGGCGTCCGGAACACACCTGGTGTTATTGTCCATCTCTTTTCACAAGAAAAATGTTTTCTTTATACAAGTGACATTGGGATATGAGGTTTCGAACACGCAACTCGGGCTTTAGGTAGGTATGAATGTTTTAACCATATTAGCTACCCACATGAAAAATGTTTAACTAAGAGATTCATTGTTGTTAATGGAGTTTAGCTTAGTAGAAAAAGGCTTTAATTTATAGACCAGTGCTCCTAAATTCTAAACCCACAAACTCCCTCCTTCTTTTCTTTGTCAAAAACAGACATTCGTCTTACTTTAGTTAGTTTAATAAGGTTGACTATTTGAGGTGATAACTGTTACCGTTGATGCTACCACCTGAACCATCCAGATCTATCTGGCACTCTATGATCGTCTGACCAACCTCAGAGGATTTAGATCTTCAAACATATACACCGACTGAAAAATAAAACACAAATAAATTTGGCATTTTCATAATATCCATCTTCCTCGCCCTTCCTTAATCCTGAGCATCATCATCATCTTGTCCCTCTGCTCCTGTCCAAATTATGGTATGATTTTTCATGTTTCTGTGCTTTGGCTTCCAGCTTTCGACGTTATAGCTCTGGTCTATTTGTCATTTCATCTCTTAATTTCCTTTGAGATTAACTATATCTGATTACCTTTGTTATTGTTGTATGCAGTTTGGTTATTGTAGGGATTGGCATGATTAATGGGTAATTGTCAATTTTAATTCTTTTAATTTGTGAAAATTTTGTGGGTTGGTTGTTTTTGGTCTCATGGGAAATGGTGTTTCTTCAATTTCTTTGGATCAAATAGTGGAATTAAAGTATGTTTTCCTTTCTTTCTACGGGTTTCCGGAATTATAGGATATCACTAATTTGTAGGACAGGCCCTCATTTTTGGGTGATGATAGCTTTCTTTATCCGTTCGTGGTTAATTTGCTTTCTTTCGGTTGTTTTCGTATTCCTTATTTAGCAAGTGGCCTTTTGGTTTTCTTGGGATTTTATCCTTGAGTTTGTAAATTCTAAGGAGGATACCGAAAGCTTCATTTCATACCACAGAATTGTTAGTTTTATGTAATTTCATAACAGAAACTGTCGTAAAGAACCTAGTTTTGTTGGTATCTGAGCGTCATCGGAATGGCTTCCTTGACGGTAAGGGTGTCTTGATGGAGAGCTTTCATTTTCCTTTCCTGTTCATGAAAAGAGGGTGGGTGCACATGTGAGAAAGTCTCATGACACTCATTACTGTTTATTCAAGTGTTTAGAACAACGATATCAAGTTGTTTTAAACAGCATCTCTTAAGCTTTTATTATGAATATTCTTGTTCCAAGTTCCAATTTTCCCGTAATCAGACTAAAACTTCTCGTATTGGCTTTTGTTGTAATCTCAGGTGGTGCTAGTCTATTCTCAATAAAGGAAATTACAGAATTATGATGGATTGTTTGCCGGACCAGTTAGTATGGGAGATCTTGAGCAGGGTTAAGAAAACCACTGATAGAAATTCTCTGTCTTTGGCGTGTAAACGCCTGCACGGATTGGATAATGAACAGAGACAATCTCTTCGGGTTGGTTGTGGATTAGACCCTGCAAATGAAGCTTTGACTTCTCTCTGCAGTAGGTTTTCCAACTTGACAAAGGTAGAGATAACTTACGCTGGTTGGATGTCCAAACTAGGAAAGCAGTTGGATGACGAAGGGCTTCTTATTCTTTCCAATTGCTGCCGTTCTATGGTTGATCTCACATTAAGCTACTGCACCTTCATCACTGATTTGGGCCTTGGTCACTTGTCTTCTTGCTCAAAACTTTCAGCTTTGAAGTTGAATTTCACAACAAGAATTACTGGCTGTGGCATATTATCTCTTGTTGCGGGCTGCAAAGTTCTCACTATCCTCCACCTTGTACGATGTCTAAATGTTAGCAGTTTTGAGTGGCTTGAATATCTTGGAAAGCTTGAAACTCTTGAAGATCTCTCAATTAAGAATTGTAGAGCTATTGGGGAGGGTGATTTGATTAAGCTAGGTTCTAGTTGGAAAAAACTAAAATGCTTGCAATTTGAGGTAGATGTGAATTACAGATATATGAAAGTTTATGATCGTTCAGCTGTGGATCGCTGGCAAAAGCAGTGGGTCGCATGTGAGAACATGGTGGAACTTAGCTTGGTAAATTGTATCATCAGCCCTGGGAGAGGGCTTGCTTGTGTGCTGGGGAAGTGCAAGAATTTGGAGAAGATTCACTTGGACAAGTGTGTTGGGGTAAGGGACTCTGACATTATAGGCTTAGCCCAAAAATCAAAAAACCTCCGCTCCATTTTCCTTCGAGTTCCATCGGATTTCTCACTTCCTCTTCTGATGAATAATCCACTGAGATTAACCGATGAATGTCTAAAAGCCATGGCTCAGAACTGTTCGATGCTTGAATCTGTCAGGATATCGTATTCTGATGGGGATTTCCCTTCATTTTCCTCATTTACATTGGATGGAATCCTTAGTTTGATTCAGAAGTGCCCTTTGCGGGAACTTGCTTTCGACCAAGTGTATTCCTTTAACGATGTTGGAATGGAAGCTCTTTGCTTGGCTCAGTATCTTGAGACCTTGGAGCTGGTCAGATGCCAAGAGATAAGCGACGAGGGGCTGCAGCTTGTGGGGCAGTTTCCCCGGTTGTCCATTCTGCGTTTAATCAAGTGTTTAGGGGTTTCTGATGATGGGTTAAAGCCACTTGTAGGGTCATACAAATTGGAATTGTTGGCTGTGGAAGATTGTCCTCAAATTTCTGAAAGAGGAGTTCTGGGAGCTGCAAAGTCTGTATCTTTCAGACAAGACTTGTCATGGCTGTACTGAAAACGTGTGACTGGATCAGGTAAAAGCAGTATCAAGGGCTTGTTTGGTTTCTGCAGCTTTTCATTTATCCAGTTGTTGTATTAGGTTTAGATGGCTTAGTGTAAGTAAACTATTGTGTTGTGAATGTTATTTTTTTTTAAATTTAACTCAATGATCTGTAAGAATAAATAATTGTATTGATTTATTTGCCTTCGCTGATGACCACATAATGAAATGGCAATTGTGAGATTCATATTTATTTTTGCATACCTAGTAATTTTTATTTATTTATTATTAATCTCATATGAATAATAATTGTCTTTGGGTTGTCATAGCAATGGATGGAAAAGCAAAATAAAAAAAGGATATGGCAATCACTATTCACATGAATAGTATATGTCCTTACTTGCCCTTACCCTTTGACATCATGAACGAAAGTGCTCTAAAAGCTAAGGGTGGGCACAGTTTGGTTTGGATTGGTTTTTGCATCAAATTGGAACCGAATCTAGTACTATTTACCTAATTTAGTTTGGTCTGGTTGTAACAAAAAAATTATAAAATTGTCTAGTTCGAGTTGAACCGATTTCGGTCCGATTCAATTTTAAACTAAATTATTATTATTATTTTATACTTGTTTTGGCTTGAAAATTAACAAATTATTCAATTTCATACAAAAATAAATATTAAGGCTAGAAAAGAAAGATGTTTTGAAATTGAACGTGGGTAAATATTAGTTATGAGATAAAAAATATAGCTTTGGATATAAATAAATATTAAAATTATATATTTTTTAATTTGGCCGATTAGGTTCGATCTGGTTCAGTTTGTTGGGTATAAAACCGGTTAGAACTAGTTCGGTTCGGTTTTTTTAATTGAGTTTGACTTTTTGGTCAACACGATTTATTTTTATTTTTTCAATCTAGTTTGGTTTGGTTGATCGGTTCTTCGGTTCCAATGTCCACCCCTACTAAAAGCAAGTGCTGCAAGGTTGCAAGGTTGCTGTGACTCTTCTTAATTCTCTCACTATTGCTACCCACCCCCTGTTCAATATCATCAGTTGCTGCAAATTAAAAATGAATGTTGATTGGGTTTGCTCAGTTAGACACATCCTTCGTGAACAAAACTGTGCAACTGATGCTTTGGCTGTTATTAGTTTTGATTTTAGTCCTGGTCTTCATATCTTTGATGTGATACCAGCTTGCATTGTTGACATCCTGGCTGCTGATTCAAGGGGTGACTCCAGGCCTCGTCTTCTCTGCTTCTAGTTTTGCTGGCTTGTGTTCTTGGGCGTTAGCCCCCTCTGTTACCCAAAAAAATAAAGCACGTGCACACTATCTGGACCAACCGACTAAATCATGTGTCTGTAATTTGCATTTTTTGGTTACTGGTCCATACGAACTTAAACGTAAATGGGAATTCGACCACTCAGACATTGACACGAATTAGTACCCGAATAAGACCCGCTCCTTGCCCGTTTCCCTCTCCCTCCCTTCCTCCCTCTCTCTCTCTCAAAACCAGACAAATACCATCTACTTTGAAAGCATAACGTTCAACTGAAAATTCCAGATGCCTGAGCTCAAAGTTGTCAAGCTGCTTAAGCCCCACGCAGCCTCATACGACGTCGCTTTCGCCCCCCTACATTTAAATTCCTTCGAATCAAATCATCATCCACCTCTCACACATAATCACAAGCATCGGAATCAAATTTATTCCTCAATTATCACTTCGTCCCAATCTCCCCCTCTCCTAGAAACCTCTATATAAACCCGCGGTTCTATTTTCCAAAAACAAAACGAAGCGCACAATCAAAATGCTTTCTCTCCGCCTTCTCAAACCCCCAATATTCGCCGGAGCGCGAAGCACTCTCGCCCCCGCCAATGAGGCCACACCACGTGCGCGCCTTAGCGTGGACGTGCGCACGGCTGATCAATCGAAGCCAGGGGTGGCGGTGGGGAGCCAGGAGGTGATGGAGGCGGAGGGGAGGGTTCTGGTGGGGACGTACAAAAGGCCGCCCGTGGTGTTGTACAGTGGCAAAGGATGTAAATTGTACGATCCTGAAGGATGAGAGTATTTGGATTTGTATTCTGGGATTGCTGTGAACGCGCTTGGACACGGGGATCCTGATTGGATAAGGGCGGTCACAGAGCAAGCCCGTACGCTCACCCACGTCAGCAACGCCTACTATTTCATCCCTCAGGTCACAATTGAATTTTGGGAGTTTCACTAAAACATCCAAAATGGGGGCTGAAATTATAAAAAAACCCAACACCCAAAACACTTTATAAACACACCCAAAACCCATCATTACACACACTCAAAACCCATTTATAAACACACCCAAAAAATATACAATTGTTAATTTTGGGGTTGATTTTGGGTGTGTTTCTATGTTTAAATAGTGCTTGGGTTTTTTTATAAATACATGCCTAGGATTGAGTTTATTTATAAATTTGTATTGAATTTTTCATTGCAATTATATCTCTACTGTCATTTTTCTTATTAAAACTGAAAAACGAAAATATATATATATATATAGGCAGTGGCGGATCCAGAAATTCTTCAGGGGAGGGGCAATAAAAAAAAAAAAAAAAAAAAAAAAAAAAAAAAAAATTAGATAAAAACAATTACCCTTACCCTAATTTATATAATACCAAAGTTTTGAAAGGCAAAGTGTATGTGTAGATGCTAAGTAACTTTAGTCCCGCAAAATGAAACGTAAGCCTTAAAGCAATGATGAGTAAGCTTTTTGCGAAGAAAAATTATAAATAATAAAATATAATGAAACTAAATCAGTAAATCTGATTAAAGCTTCATATTCAATTAAATATAAGTAATAAATATAATAATCAATTTCAAAACCTAATATTATCCAATTAGTTATACAATTGACAGGAGGGTTAGGGCTAGAGATACATGTGGTTGAGAAAAAAAGAATTTGGGGTCTAGTGTGATTGTATTGGGAGGAGGGAGAAATAGATTTGGAAAAAGGAAATGACAAAAAAAGGTTTTAAAATAACAATCAAAATGCACACTTTTATTAAAACCCAAAAGTGAACCCAACGACATTGTTTAAGAAAAAGAAAGGGTTTAGAAATCATCTTCTTCCTCACGCAGCAGGTTCTTCTTAGCGCAGTCAACACCTTCAGACAGAGCAGAAGGGGCAATCTCTGCCACTTCCAAAGCGTTTTCCAGCGAGAGGAGGTGCAACTATACCTCCTTGAGCCTATGTGGATTCGCCACTGTATATAGGGCCAACCTATATACATGGGTTAAGCTAGTTGCACATAAGTTTGAGTAAAGATGTCAAACAGGTCAATCCGGTTCATTTAAATTCGTGCCTTAAACGTATTTGTACTTGATTGGGCTGGCTCATTTAATTTATCGGCCCGTGTTGTGTTGGTTCATTTAGTAAAACTATTGATTTCAATATGACTCAAAGTCCAAATCCATATTGAAACGAGCTGGATCTGGCTCAGGCCCAAGAACTAGCCCATTTAATTTGAAATTCTCTCTTTTCATTTTGGAAGCCCAATCGTATCCTTTAATTTTTGAATATTTAAAAAAAAAATTGCTAAGAAAATTTGAGAACAATTCAAAATTTGAATAATATGTTTATTGCGAAATAGCACTTAATAAAACAAAGGCTTTGTTTTGTCAACCCAACAAGACAATTTGTGAAAGTAACCCACAAAAGGTATCACCATTATTTATTCTAATGCACTCCAAATCTAAACTTGTTCATCATCACCACCACCTAAAAAGTTCATGAAATTCAATATTTACCCAAGATTACCCCTATAGAGCCTATGATACAACTTTTCTTGGAAAAAAACAAACAAACAAATAAACAAGCATTTGGCTACATTGAGCAGCAAATCGGCAAACCAGGGGAGGAAGATCCAAAAAGGAGGCATACTAACATCTTATAGAAAAAAGGGTTAAAATTTAACCTTGTGTTGTGATCTTTGTGTAATGATATACTAAAATAACTGTATATACAGTGTTTGGCAGCAGAGAAAAATGTGGGGAAATGAATAAGATAGTTGGTTTAACTGCAACAAAGAAAAAGGCTACATTTTGTTTACACAAAACACAACATACAATATAAAGCAGAGATTAAAACGGGCCGTGCTTGAAGCGGGCTCGGGCCAAGTCAGGCTCATGTCAGGCCAAGTCCGGCCCATGTTGGGTCACAGGTTGGTCCGGTCCATTGGACTTCATTTTTTAATTTCAGTCCGACATAAGCTTTCGTGCCATGGCGAGCACGGCCCACTACTATTCATGCTCGTGCCGTGCCGTGCCTAATTTAAACGAGCTGACTTCGTGACATGCTGGGCTGGCCCGTCCCATTTGACACACAAGAGTAGATATCGCCTTGTCCCAAAAAAAGGGGCCAGCCAAAGGGCACTTTCAATGACAGACGCGTTTTGCTAATCTAGTTTCATTACCATCGCTTGTAAATGTATTTTTATTCCTCGTGAAATTTGCTCACGAATATGGCAGTTGTTCTTACTTTAGGTGGAGCTAGCAAAACGTCTGGTGGCTTGCTCCTTTGCTGATCATGTCTTTTTCTCCAATTCTGGCACAGAAGCAAATGAAGCTGCCATAAAATTTGCAAGAAAGTTTCAAAGATTATCATTTCCTGAAAAGAAAGAGCCTGCAACAGAATTCATTTCTTTCACCAACAGCTTCCATGGGAGAACGATGGGGGGCCGTTGCTTTGACGAGTAAGGAGCATTATCGGTCGCCATTTGAGCCTGTCATGCCTGGAGTTACTTTCTTGGAGTATGGCGATATAAAAGCTGCAACAAAACTAATTCATTCTGGCAAAATTGCTGCTGTGTTTCTTGAACCTCTCCAGGGCGAAGGTGGCATACTTAGCGCAACTAAAGAATTCTTGCAATCCTTGCGTGGTGCTTGTGATGATTCGGGGTCGCTACTAGTCTTTGATGAGGTAGGAACTTCACTGGAAAACTTCAGCTTGTCTCAATAATCATTTAAGTTGGTGCTCGGAGAAACTGTTACTTGTAGTTTTCAGTCCCAAAAAACATGTCTAACTTAACTTCACTTTCTGATGAAGATCGCTATGGAAATTGTTGTTTATTTATGGTTTCTAAATTAGTTTCTGATATATCATATATGTATACTTTTGGGGATACTTAGTTTTGTGATATATCCTATCTATTCTGATTCTGAAAAGCTCCTTATGATGTTTTAACTACTCCCAGGTTCAATGCGGCTTAGGCCGAACTGGTTATCTCTGGGCACATGAAGCTTATGGTGTATTCCCAGACATAATGACGCTGGCCAAGCCTCTCGCAGGAGGGCTCCCCATAGGAGCTGTTTTAGTTACAGAAAAAGTCGCTGCTTCAATAAAATATGGAGAACATGGAAGCACATTTGCTGGAGGGCCGCTTATATGCAATGCAGCCCTTGCTGTTTTGGACAAAATCTCAAAGCCTGAGTTTCTATCCAGCGTCTCAAACAAAGGTCAGTACTTCAAAGAATTGTTAATAAAGAAGCTGGGAAAAAATCCACACGTGAGAGAAGTACGTGGTTCGGGACTTATCGTTGGGGTAGAGCTAGATGTTTCTGCTTCACCACTTGTCGATGCCTGTCGAAATTTGGGTCTTCTAATAATAACAGCAGGAAAAGGAAATGTTCTTAGGCTTGTGCCCCCTTTGATTATCTCTAAGCAAGAATTGGAGCATGCAGCTGAGGTCTTGCTTGAATGTTTGCCGGTCCTCGATGGCTCTAATTGAAGTTGAAGTACCTATAACCATTTTAGCTTCATGTATTTTTTGGTCGAAAATTTAGCTTCATATATGACATGTACATTATTGCTGGGTTTTATGTTAGCTCAGTTTGTGCATGTCTCTGTTTTGCGCAGTCCGATCGTTAAGCTATCAATTGCATCTTTATATACATAGAGCTATATGTAATGGTTATGGTGGTAGGTATTCTCATGAGGATTTACATCTTAGCTGTTAGATTTGATATGGATGGATAAGATCCATCTCTTTGATTCTTATTTGTGAGAAAGTAGTTCATAAGTACATAGTAATTACAAGCACGAACATTGATATGATCAAATAGTCCCATAACACTACTAGAAAGACAAACACAACAAGACACAGATGCCAGCCACAACCCTAATTCAGCACATCAGCTCCTCCCTGCACAGGACCTGAAAGTCATCACTTGAGATTGTAGCTTATTTGTTAGAATTCATTATTTTCAGTGTTTTGGATGTTTAGGAGAAAGGAAATCAGCAAACAGATGAACAAAGAGAACGTTGCTCTGTAGAAGAAAGCTGAAAGCTACTGTTCATATATTTCCTTTCTATTCATCTATTTTCGTATATCAGAAAAGAGAAGTGAGATTCTTCTCTTAACTGATTTACACAGGGATTTAATCCTAGCCTTTGATCCTATCATCCTATGAGATGATTACACTTGTCACAATCTAACATAACACATAAGTGGCCACTTGGATTATGATCCAACGGCTCATATTACACCCATCAAAGTAGCATATAAAACTGAAATAGAAAATTCAAACAGAAAGAAAACTTTGGCACCAAGACTTTCAGCTCAAAGGGTTATACATCAACACTCCCTTCTAACCCTCTGGCTAACTTTACTCCAAGTAGATCTCTGAGATGCACAAAACGATCCTTGGATAAAGCCTTGGTTAGGATGTCTGCAATTTGATCTTCAGTTTTGCAGTAGATTAGCTCAATTTCCTTTGCTTGGATAGCCTCTTGGATGAAATGAAACTTTATGCTAATATGCCTGGATTTCTGATGAAAGACAGGGTTCTTTTCCATTGCTATGGCAGAGGTGTTATCACACAAGATTGGTGTGCCTTCCACTTGCTCCTCTCCAAAGTCTTCAAGCACAAACCTTAGCCATTTAGCCTATGATGTTGCTTCAGCAGCACTCACATATTCTGCTTCTGCAGTGGACAGAGCTACTGTATTTTGTTTAATTGAAGCCCATGAGAACATACCAGATCCAAGAGTGAATGCATACCCTGAGGTACTCTTTCTGTCATCTTCACTTCCTGCCCAGTCACTGTCACAATACCCTATCAAGGTAGCTGCCTTCCCCTTTTTAAACTCAATTCCATAATCCAGTGTGCCCTGAATGTATCTCAAGACCCTTTTGGTTGTTCCCATGTGTTTCCTAGTAAGATTGTGCATGAATCTAGCAAGCAAACTAGAGGCAAACATTATGTCTGGTCTAGTAGCTGTCAGATATAGCAGGCTGCCTACAATCTGCCTATATTCACTCATATATGCCATCTCACTTCCATCTTCCTTGCACAACCTTTCACTTGCAACCAATGGAGTTACCACAGATTTACAACTTTTCAAACCAAATTTCTCAATCACTTTTGTTGCATATTTCTTCTGATGAAGAAATATATGCTTATTTGTTTGTACTACTCCCATGCCAAGAAAATGATAGAGTAGTCCAAGATCAGTCATCTCATAATGTTTCATCATGTCATTTTTGAATTCTTCAAGTAGCTTTGCACAACTTCCAGTATAAACAATATCATCCACATAAAGAGAGACAATAAGAATACCTTACCCTTAATCAGTTTTGATATAAAGTCTAGCTTCACTAGGACTTCTTGAATCCTGCTTTGTTGAAGTAGGAGTCTATCTCATCATACCAGGCCCTTATGGCTTGTTTTAGTCCATACAAAGCCTTGTCCAGCTTATACACCTTGATTTCTTCATTCTCCTTCACAAAACCCTGTGGCTTCTCCACATATACCTCTTCCTTTAAGACTCCATTCAAGAAAGCAGATTTGACATCCAGTTGGTACAGATTCCATTCCTTCTGTGCAACAAGAGCAATCAAGGTTCTAATGGTGTCTAACCTTGCCACTGGGGCAAAGGTTTCATTGTAATCAATCCCAGGCTTTTGTGAGTATCCTTTAGCCACTAAACGAGCCTTATTTTTCTGAACAGTACCATCTAGATTGAGTTTGGTCTTGTAGACCAATTTGACACCAATGACAGGTTTATTAAAAGGTCTTTTAACAAGCTGCCAAGTGTTATTCTTCTCTATCATTTCCAACTTAGCTTCCATTGCCTTTCTCCATGACTCATCTAGATCAGCCTCTTCAAAATTCTCAGGTTCCACAATGCACATATTGCACTGAGCCATAATGTCATTAATACTTCTCCATTTCTTTGGTGTATGATCCATAGCTTGAGAACTTCCACCAATGCTTTCATCCTGCAAAGTAGTATCTTCATCTATTTGTGTTTGTGTATTCAAGCTTTGACTTGGTTAATCTTGTAATGTGGTTTCTTCATCTATTTGCAGTGGTGTATCCAAGTTTGAACTTGGAGCACAGTCTTGGTTTTCAGTAGGCACAAGAACTATCATTTCTCATTCTCTAGCATTCTCCAATTTCCATAAACCATTTTCATCAAATTGCACATCTTTGGACAGAATAACCTTCCTAGTACTTGGATCAAACAGCCTATATCCCTTTTCACAGAGACCAGAGCCTACAAAAATACACTTGTGACTGTTTTCTTCAAGCTTATGCCTCAAAGCTGAAGGAATAAGCACGTGAAAAGGAGATCCAAATACTTTTAAGTGTGCAATTCCTGGTTTTCTGCTAGTATAGGCTTCAAATGGTGTTACCTTCTTGAGAACCTTGGTGGGACATCTATTCAGCAAATAAACTGCAGTATTTACAGCTTCTGTCCAAAATTCATAAAGGATACCTTTCTCATGCAACATGGATTTGGCCATTTCCACCACTGTTCTATTCTTCCTCTCAGCTACTCCATTTTGCTGAGGGGAGTATGCCACTGTTAACTGCCTTTGAATGCCAGATTATTCATAGAACCTGTTAAATTCTCCAGATAAAAACTCTCCACCCCTGTCATTCTCAAGCTTTTTATCTTGAACCCACTTTGCAGCTCAGTCATAGCCTTGAATTTTCTAAAACACTCCAATGCACTTGACTTGTTTCTAATGAAATACACCCACGACATTCTAGGGCAATCATCTGTAAAAAGCAGAAAATACTTGTTTCCAGATAATGATTCTGTTTTCATTGGTCCACAGATATCTGTGTGAACCAATTCCAAAGGAGTTGTTGCTCTCCAACTGGATTCCAAAGGAAAAGAGTCTCTGTGCTGCTTTCCTTGCATACAACCATCACAAACCACTGAAATCTGCTCCAAATGAGGTAAGCCATGAACCATGCCTTGATTTTCAAGCATTTTTATGCTCCTTTCATTTAAGTGTCCCAACATCTTGTGCCATGTCTGCAAGCAGTGTGAAACACTTGTTCTCAAAGCCTATCCCTGGCAGGCATCATTATAAGTGGAAAACATCTGTTGTTTGTCATTTGCATCCTCACAATAAGATTTTCCAGTGACTGATCATCATAGACATTCACCATATTTCCTCCAAACACAAGATGGTATCCATACTCCATCATTTGCCCAAGACTAAGCAAGTTTTCTTCAAGACCAGGTACAAGCATTACTTCATGAATGTTCTTCTTACCCAACTTGGTTTTGATCACCAGAGTTCCTTTTCCAGCTACTGGAACTACTTCTCCAGTTCCTATCTTCACCTTAGAGGTCAAATCCCTTTGAATATTCAGTAAGAGTCCCTCATCTCTTGTCATGTGGTTACTACAACCACTGTCAATATACCAAGAGTGATTTACCTTCACATCAGTTGCAGCATTACACACATAAAACAAAGTACCAGTTTCTTCCATCTCATTTGCATAATTCACCCTATGTGCATTCTTATTTCCATTGCATTCTCAGATCATATGTCCAAATTTTCCACATCCATGGCATTTAGGCTTGCCTTCAAACCAACATTTGCCATAATGTAGCTTATCACAATGCTTACAAGCTGCTTTGTTTCCATCATTAGGCTTCCAACTTTTCTGAAAACTCTGATTTCCAGAAAAACTTTCATTCTTAGACTTCTTTTCTTCAATATTCAGACTAGCAAAGGCCCTCTCTGAAGAGTTCTCAGTGTGCCTATCCAATCTGAGCTCAAAGCTCTTCAAGGAGGCAACCACCTCTTGAACTTCTAGAGTTTCAAGGTCCTTAGAGTGTTCTATCACAGAGCATATAGAATCATATGATTTTGGCAGACTAAACAAAAATTTCTGCATAACTCTCTCCCTAGATAATTCCTCACCATAACTCTTCATTTGATTCAACATATTAAACAATCTAACAAGGTAGACATATAGAGATTCACTATCCTTCATGCGAGTATATTCAAATTCCCTACGCAACCCTTGCAATTTAACATTTCTTACCTGTTTATCTCCTCTGAATTCCAGCTTCAGAATATCCCAGGCACCCTTTGAGGTCTCCTCATTCACAATCCTGGGGAATAACTGATCTGAAACTGCACTTTGGATCAATCCAAGTGCACGAGCATCCTTCATTAGAATCTGAGCCATCATAGACTTCTCAGTATCCGTAGCCTCCTCTTTCTCCTTCTTTAGATCTGAGCTATTGAACCCATTCTCGACCAGCTCCCACAATCCATGAGATTTCAAAATGGTTTTCATCCTAATACTCCAAAACTCATAGTTTTCTCCATTGAAAACTGGTGTGTGAAGCTCAGCTGCTCCAGATCCTGCCATATTAGACATTGGGTCCAAGAAATCACAACTTCAATCTTCAGACCAGCTCAAAATAACTCGAAAAACGAGTCCGATTTACTGTTCACAGATACACGCCTAACTCAAACAATCGAACCTGGCTCTGAGGCCATGTTAGAATTCATTATTTTCAGTGTTTTGGATGTTTGGGAGAAAGGAAATCAGCAAACAGATGAACAAAGAGAATGTTGCTCTGTAGAAGAAAGCTGAAAGCTACTGTTCATATATTTCCTTTCTATTCATCTATTTTCGTATATCAGAAGAGAGAAGTGAGATTCTTCTCTTACCTGATTTACACAGGGATTTAATCCTAGCCTTTGATCCTATCATCCTATGAGATGATTACACTTGTCACAATCTAACATAACACATAAGTGGCCACTTGGACTATGATCCAACGGCTCATATTACACCCATCAAAGTAGCATATAAAACTGAAATAGAAAATTCAAACAGAAAGAAAACTTTGGCACCAAGACTTTCAGCTCAAAGGGTTATACATCAACATTATTGAGGTGAGTAAAACTCACCCCTTGGCTAGGTTTGAAAATCAGTGGAATTAATAGTAATATTCGTATTGAATATATAGTTTATACATATACCAACTGTAAATAACAATGATTTGCTTATGATACATAATCAATAATTAACTAAAAAAACAGAGGGAGTTTCTATCCACATGTATGTTGCTACATGATTGTATTTCATTAAAACTTCTCTATCTATGCAAGAGGCTTGTAGTTGTCCAAGTAGTTAAGAGTAGTTACCTATATGCATTTGAATTTATGTTCTCCAATCCCCCTTAATATCGCTTTTATCTTTCTTTTTTTACTGAATATATCGCTTGTATCTAAAAAAATAAAATAAAAAACAAAGAAAAACAAAAAATCAATGGGGTGTAGCTCAGTTGATTGAGCTTCCACCTCCACCCATTAATTTGCAGAGAGGTTCTAAACTCCTACGCACCCAATGAATATTTGTGTAAACCCCTTCCCCCAACCTCCTGTACTAAAAAATGAAAAACCAATCACACGCACACCCCAGTACATGAGAAAGCAAATTTATACACAGACCGGCGTGGTGAGGGGCAAGTTAAAAAACAGACAATGGAGAATCCACTCCAACCCTATATTGATGAACTCTTAAAGTCAACTTTAGAATATAAGTATGAACATGCATGAAGGAGCTGAAGTTGGTAATTTGCCACGATCAAAACTTATTGAAATTAATAATATTAGGCAAAAATTGATGTAGAATTTGGATATCAACATGCATGTAGAAACTATCCCAAAATTTCGAGTAAGATGTAACCGAACATAATTAATGGAACGAAACACAAAATGAGAGTGCAAGAGTACCATGGAGGAGAGAAGCTCTTACAATATCCAAAATTGGTGTTCTTAAGGGAAGTTGAGAAGAGGGAAGAGAAGCATAAGGAATCTCTTCCTCATTGGCTAGCCCTGCAACTAGCACAAGTAAAACTAATCCCATCATTATCTTCATAATTAGTGTCATAATCCATCTTAGTGTCATCATTTATGGTGTTTACATATATATCCATCATGCAACTTGTCCACGCAATTGAATTTTATTTATTTTCGGGGGTTGTTGTCCTATTCAAATGATTACCTGTTTTTCTAGTTCAATTTAGTACTGTATTATATATGGGAAATGCTTGACTTCTTGACAGTCAAGTGTTGAATGATAAGGCTCAACTTTTATTTGTGCACATGACATGGCCTCAATAAGCTACCTAAGGAGCAACCTCCTATACACCTACCAACATGACAAAGCATAACGTATGGCCTTTTTATTCCACTACTACAATATTTAGCAATAGTCACCAATTTTTATAAATGATCTCAAACTCACACTTTGACACACACGAAAAATCTATTTTCGTGTCAACGCAAAACCAGATTGATCGCTATTCATCCCGAGTTATTTCATTACTAGCTACTTTCACCAAAAAAGAAACCAAGCGATAAGGAATATTCACAAGTGCCTCTACAAGTTGACCCAAAAAAGAGAAACTTGGGCAATTTCACATTTCCCATAAGCCATGAAACTTTCAAAGTCACTTGCACACAAGTTTACACAAAATAATCCAAAGTAGGAAATCATAAAGATATCATGATAGCACACTTTCTTTGTCTTCTTTCTTCTTGGGATTTTCTCACTGACTCTCTCTCTCTCTCTTTCTCGAAACCCAAGTGAGAAAATGTTTCACTTCTCTCTCTCATGGCAATACAAAAAACTCTCAGTCCAAAGAGTGTAAAACACTAAAGCCCTCGCGTGCTTCACCCCTCCTCTCTCTTGGGAAAACAATCTTTTCCTTTCTCTATACACATCTCTCTCTCTCTCTCTCTCTCTCTCTCTCTCAAACACATAACATAGAGTGAGCCTAGGGTCATATATATAGACAGACATTCTCTTTTGTTCCCACCAAATGTTTCTGCAAATATCAAAACATCGATAAGTTCATTACACACCATCACCTTGGGTATTGCCCAAAACAAGCCAACAATTTATATTCAATAGATTCACATTTCGTCTGTATGCCTGAGAGTGTGTCAGAGAGAAGATTAACGAGAAGGAGAAGATTGACTTCAAACTTCAAAGTTTACTTTCAAATAAACTAATCTGTTTTTTTCTGGGTAGGATAATATAGTCCACCTTATGGACCACCGATTAATTTTTTGTATCCACGGTTTTCTACAAGGCCTCTGAAGTTGGTTTGTTTATTGCAAAGGTTAAGACCAAAATGAGAAACATTGATTTGCATTATTTTATAATTCCAAAGCTCATGTTCTCAGAGGTTCTCACGTGACCTTTGCGTGCTCATTGTGCACACGTTTGATAAGGTAGAAAAGATTGGGACCTTAAGGCTTCAACTGAGAAACGTTATTAGGTTTAGACCTTCGCGTGCAGATTTTAATGCAACCCCATTGCTATTTTTGTTGCATCAACTCCATGTTGTCCATGCATGCATATCCTCAGACAGGCACGCAGCTTTAGGTGATTGGATTAGGGTTTAGGTGAGGTGACCAAACCTTGTTGGGAAAAGCCTAAATTTTCGTGGATTTATATGCATAGAAATTATAAATCTCTATCCTAAAACACACATAGTTTTTTTTTTTTTTTTTTTTTTTTTTTTTTTTTTTTTAAGGTGGTGGATTAGGGTTCAGATCAGGCAATAGAATCTTGTTGGGAAGAGCCTCAAGTCTTGTGTTGTGTGTGTACATGCATTGACTGCAAATTAGACATTCATATCCTACGCGTAACATATTTGTGAAAAATACAGAAAAGAAAAATATATTCATGTGACTGCAATACCATGTTATATATGCTCAGGGGTGGAGCTTAAATGTTTAGATTGTTGGGGCCAAAATTTTAAATTGAATTGTAAATGACTTGACCTTCTTAAATTTGGGGGATCTTAAGATTCTACAAATTGTTAATTGGGTTAGAAGCTAATGCACACATTTTTCTAATCAAACTCCACCAACTAAGGGTCTTAGTAAAATTGAACCTTTTTTCTTTCATTAAAAAACCCTGCACAATTCTTCAAATGATGTCCAAGTCAAATTATGCATGTTTTTTAATCAATATGAACCTATTTTTTCACATAACTTTCTATACAAGGGTTATTGAAAGATGAGATAATCAAACTCAAGACATCTGTGTAAGGATAAATATCATTTTAGTATCTCTAGTGTAGGAGAAAGGCTTCTGTAAAATGAAGACATCGTCATTTTGCTATTAACGATCAATAATGCTATGACATGAATAATAACGAACTTTGACATAAAATAGAATTATTAGCCGGGATAACTTTTGCTATTTCGATTGCAATTAAGTTTTTGAAAGAGTATATGTCATTCGAGCTATGAAGGCCACTAAAACCGTGTTCATCTACGTGTTCTTATTGCATGCCATCCCAGCCATCAATTTGCTTTTATCTATGAGCCAGGAGCGTATCTCTGACTACATATATGTAATGATAACTTCAGAATGTATATTTATATTATGGAGGCAATAATTCCATTAAATTTCATGTACAAATACAGCAGTTGCACTAGCACCTCATGACCGCAGGATCTGCTGACAATCACCTAACATCGCAAGGCTACAATTAAAGAGAGTTTTCGACCCCTAAAATCGAAATTAATCAATAGGAAAATATGAAAACGTTTTAGTGGGTACCAAGTAACCTTTGACTGACATGATGAAATCATATCAATCGTCAACTTTTATTTTTATTTTCACACAAGATCACTGATCACGGTATCTTCCTCTTGCATGGCGGTTCTTCACCTGCATCCTCACGGTCACCTGCGTAACATCGGAACTTGTCTTCTCTTAAGGCAAGCAATCGAGAAATAATATCACAAAATTAGATGTAATCAGTCGAACAATCTTTTCTTGACCACAATGTGACGCATTTCTCGCCCTCCGATACTAAATCCAACGGCCATTAACTGCCCTTCATCCAAAGTCTCGAGATCATGAACTCTTAAAACCCATCAAATCATTATGTACATGATGAACCCTCATTGACTCCATGCAATGGACTACGTATCTTGTGTGGGTGGGGGTATATAATATAAAACTTGAAACCTCTAGAATGCTCTCTACACTCTTTGCACTCCCTACATTTATAATAAGTAACGGTGTACGAGTATAACAGGTGTAGGGTGAACTTATGAAGGCGCTCAACTGGGCTTTAGTCCAGTGCTGGTTTTGTACTTTAGTCTTTATTGTACAACAAAATTCACTACAATTAAATAGTAGCCCACTTATCTTTTAGAATTACATAATTTCATTATTTCCCTTTACTGTTTCTCGTAATGTAAACTACTTACATAAAAAAAGATATAGATAAAGAAAACAATGCAACGAAGATAAGCAATAGTTCCTTCTTGCATAATATTGGGGCAACATGTACGAAGTGTACACTTCATTTTTTCAAATCTTTGTTTAGGTAAATA